GACAGAGCCCTGGCACAGAGGTTTGCCTTCATTTCCTCAATACCTGAGGTGGTAGAAGTAAGAAAACAAACAGGATAGGCTTTTTCTTTAATACACTGGCTATTCAGGCGCAGATTTACCAGAAGCAGGATGCAAAGGCTAAGAGAATACTATGATGAGCTCTAGATCCTTCCTATTCCTCCACCCGCTCTTCCCCTCCCCAAGCTCTAGCTGCACCTATGCCTATCTACTGAAAATTGGAAGGATTTCTGGTTAACCAGGGAACTGAACATAAGCATTGACCACCTTAATCTCTGCTAAAAATAGAGACTTCCCATTAAATTTCCTTGTCCTTACTAAGTGTCTTAGGAGGATAAGCTTACTGTCAGGACAACTTCCCAAGTTTAAGGAAGAGAAGGGAAGTTATTTCTGAGAATGTCCAAAGGCTGTGATCCCAGCTTGCTGTATTTTGGAACATGACTTACAGATTTGGTATCACAGATCTGTGGATTTGATTTATTCACTTTACAAGGATCAGAATGAAATTCCTCCTCCCAAATTACTGTGATGGAAACAACACTATCCCACAGTATTTTCTACTGATTTTCTTGCTGTTCTCTTCGGCAGGCTCAAAGATTTCCTCTGTAATAAAGAGAATCTGAAGGCCAGCATAAGGAACGAGAGAAGTCACTACTCAGAATTACAATGGTAGCAACAAGTTTCTAGAGAGACGAAAATGAATAAATTTTAGTTTAGGTGAAGGCAAAATTAAGTGAGGAAAAAGAGGAGAAGTAGAAGCATTTCATTAACATATATTATAAAATCCTTGAAATACTACAGACCATGAAGATAGCAAAGCTGAGATTGCAGTAAAAGGAACGAGACTGACTGAGATTGACAATAGTTGATCGAATTTTAAAGAGGGAAAGGTCCTAAAAGTATTTTGTTTCATTTTTGCAAAGACTGTGAGAAGGTTAGGATGCATAAATAAACTTTACTTTAAGAATACTAGAGAGGTCAGACTAGTTCAGGACAGGCATACACTTGGCCCATTTACCTATCTACAACAGCTCTCATAAGCCAATTCTTATCCAAATATTCTCTCAGTGAACAGCAGGCTCAGGACAAGCACATTTGATAATGCCCATAGGTTCCAGCATCCAACTTTATTTCAGCTTGGATGGTTTCCTGAACCTGATGTCTAGTCAGTGACCTTCACTAGATCTCTCTGCCAGGGTCTCGGGCAGTGTCTCCTTAGACCAATGAGAACTTCTTTAAACCATACTGTCTTTAGTTAAATAATGTTGTGAGTATATTACCCATGAACATGTAAGCCAATATAATTTATTGTATTATTTGCTTTGAACGTGCCTAGTGCTAGGGTCCTCTGATGCACCCTCATTTATTTATTGATAGGGAAGGTGAAAAGCTGATTCCTGTCCATCCTTTTTGTCTGTGATTTTAAAACATTTATTGCTGTTTTGAAGAGGCAAATTTTGGGGTTTGTTAGAGGGCTGCTGTAATTACAGTCTGAAGAAGATTCCATTGCCCCTGGGCTGGTAATCTATTTCTTCTTAGGTTTGCCAATCAACCACCAGTTTACCTGCTTTCTGTGGCAGACGTTGAAGCTGCTATTACACAGAAGCCCTTCCAAGATCTTGGGGAACTGGAAGCTTAGATGAGCACATTCTGACAGAGCCATTCTTTTCCACTGTTAGGGAAGATGCATTAGAGGAAAAGATGCAGTCATGCATATTGTGTTCTTAAAACCCTGCTGGTCTTTCTGCAAGCAGAATCTAAAAAAATAGTAGGGAGTGGAAATAAAGATAAGAAAATTTGCCAATCCACAGAAATCATCCCCATTCAAAGCAAATTACTTGCTAATAACTAAAGCTCAAGGAATCAGTGTAAACTCTATCTAAAATATAAGGAGAAAACTGAAGATAAACTAGTTCAAGCCTCCTCTAAAGGAGAAGGACATTACTTTTTGAGTTTGGCAGGAGACCTTAAGTGGGCACAGTTAACATCATAATAAAAACAGCAGAAGCTTTTGATAGTTTCCTATTATTTCAATAGGAGAGTCATAACCCATGCAGTATACTCCCATTTTCCCTACTATGTGTTTTACAAGGCACAGAAATATTTCTCAAGCAGATAAGAAAGCCCAGTTTCTATTAGTAAAGAATTATACAGATAGGTAAGAGAGGTCTCTGTTAGAGAGGTAACGAGAGGTAAAAGTAAAAAACCAGCCTTTTAGAAATCTTACTACAAGGTAAGGTATACTGTACCGCTGTACAGAAGATAAGCTGCTATTGCAGAAAAAATGAACTTTTAGAGAAAATATGTAAACTGCACTTAGTGTCAAAGCTGTTGAACAGTCCCATATTACTGAAGCAGAAGAGGTTAAAGGATACTGATGATGCCAGATATTCAAACAGAAAGCCTTTTCATTTAGGTTTGTGACTAAGTCTAGTTAAAGTGACTCTATTTGACAGAAAATGTTGCAAAATAGTTTCTGTCAGTAGATTTCACCTAAGCAACGCCCAGTCTATCAGCTATAATCCTACTGGGTTTGGCTGCAGGATCTGATTATTATTTCAGAAGAGTATGTCTGGCTAAGCGGGTAAAGAGAATGTACTGAAAGTTTCACAAGACACAAAGAAAGGTAAAAAAACAAAAACAAAAAAAAGGCACACAAAGCCCATATTATTACACAGGTAAACAAAATATTCTGTCAGGAGCTCTCAGCATCCCTCTAGTTAGAACAGACACCTATTTGTATCTGTTATGAACAAGCACACGTTTAAAAGTCCCCATTTGAAAAACGTAACTCTGGAAGACAGGTCAGTGCTGTCGACTCCCTGCTATGATAGTTAGATATGCTGAAGGTTAGAAAGGCTCAAGAGCCTCTAACATTATCGGCTCTAACCCCAAATGTTGCCTGGTTCTGACTGGTTTAACTCAGAGCCATAAGTCACATGAAAGTTCTTGCCCCTCAAAGGCTTGTTGACAAATAGATAATTAATTATCGCATTGACTATCAGCACTTGTTTGGGAAGTCCCTGAAAAACAAACCCAAATTTACTTTCTCTTCAAGGCAGAGGGTACTGATTCCAAAATAATTATATGGAGAGAAAGCATCTCCTGGACATCACAGAGATTTTGAATGGGAGCAAATCCCTCTCTCTGTCACCCAGACTCTTAGTACTTTGAGGTATGAAGGCAACACTGTAATAAGTGTCATTTGTTCAAAGTTTAATGAGGAAAGGACTTCTTTATGTATCACAGACATCTGATGCAGCATGTACCAGGTCATTGCAAAGCTGTGCTTTTAATCAATTTTGTCCACAATGTAGATAAAGTACAAAATGTTTTGGGAGAGACTATAATTACTGAGATGTTTTCACTGATCTTAAAAGATGACCTAGAAGTTGATTTAATGGACCTGTTGCTGTTTAGGATCTCTCCTCTGGGAAGTAAAAAGCTCTTGATAATATGATGTATAACAGCAAAACCATAACCAAGTGTTTTAAATCAATGTTGCTTTTGTAAGTCTGAGAACTGTTGATCATAGAGTTTTAGACTTGTGTGAACTGAATCAGTGATCTGTTGTGGTACTACACCTCAACCCTTTATCTTCTGAGGCAGGTTGTGATGATGGTTACTTTTTCTGGGAGGAGGCAGAGCAAAGACAAAGTCAAAAGAAAATTCCTGCTTATTTCACAACAAAGACTGAATAGTAGCACTCTGTAATGTAATCCAGAGTTCCTATGAGGAATCCAAGGTCTTTTCTCTGCAGCATGGATCCCTATGTAAAAATAGACATCTTGCAGGCTGGCAGTTCAAAATCCCTGCGGATTAGTGATTGGTTAGGAGATTATGGATACTACTCCAGTCTGAATTTGAAAGAGCAAATGAAATTGCTGAGGCACTGATAGTTGACACTGAACTACCAGCCCCCTCACCCTTTTGGCAAAGTTGTACAGACAGAAGGCTCTGTCACTGATTTGTAATGGTACATTTGCTTCTGCAATCAGTCGTAGAAGGGAACTTCTTTCTGGTGTTTATTGTTTCTAATAACCTGGATAACTTGTTATAGAATAAGAGGGAGAGAAAAGCCACGAGGCCAACAAGTCACTCAGCACTATGTATGACACGGTACTGAAATACAAAGACAATCACTTTTATCAGGGCTATAAATACATAAAGCACTTAACACAAAGCCAGTCACTATCAAGGCCTCTGCAGGGAATGCAAGGGTATGCAAGTAATAAAATCAGTCTTTTTAGGACCTGGACTTTAAAATACACAAATCAAAGACGTGCCATATTGCTGATGAATCTTTCATCCCTTGCTACATGCACGGGCAGCAACTTGTGCTGAGAATCACTTTCCTCTTGCCTCCATCAGACTTCCTTGCCAATACAAGTGGACCCTGCTACTGGATATGTCCCAGAAGATCAGAATCATAGCTCTTAGGACACTGAACAAGACAGACTGTCTTAAATCATAACTATAGCTTTACCTGTGGAATTGAGCAACAAATTGTTTTCTGTTTAAGAGACAGTTTAAGAGACTGTTTAAAAAGGAGGTCTCTCCCTCCCCTGCTCTATGTTTCTTCTTAGAAAGAGGAAACACTACTATGGGGTATGTTGCTCTCCAAAGAATCATATTAGGGAAAATCTTAAACCCCGGTAACCTAAGACTCCTTTATCCATATATAAAGAGATATACCTAGTATGTTAACTCAAACTGTGTTTTGCTAATGCTCATAAGGGGACTTAATTTATTCCTTGAAATTAATTATACTATCACAAATAAATTTAAGTAAATCACACAGTACATGTACTGCATTATTTCCATCTCTGTGGTATGATTAAAATAATGAAATCATCAATGTTTGTACTCATGTGGCTATTTAATGCCCTGAGGACAGTGGACATGAAGGTGCCTCAAGCAGTAGTCTGCTGATACCATTTAATGGACTCTGCTTATCCAAATAATTTGTTCTCGCACTCCAGGGGGACATGCCCACCAGCAATGGAATCCATCTACACCATCACTCAAAGAAGCATCCAGAAGCATCCCAGATGAGTTATTCATGTTCTTTAAAAAAACTGGTCAATTAAAATAACTTTCTGTGCTTAGGCCAGCTTGGGTGGAAAACTGGGCTATACAAAGTAACACACAACTGCATTAATAAAGTAACTACTTCTTTATACTGTTGCTGTAGCTTACACTGTTAGTCTGTAGAGCCCAAAACCTCAATCAATGCAATTTCTACTTTTCCAAATAAAATATTTTCATAATGCTGACATTTTCTTATTTATTTCTCAAAACTGGACAAAAATTATCCACACTCCTAAACACTAACGTTTACGCTTTCCAACCTATATCTTTCTGGTTTAGAGTTTGTACTACTTTGTTCAGTCCAATTGCGGTTCCATTAAATATGGGGATCACATTACATTATTAAATCTGCTAAAACAGAATAGCTCAGAATAACTGCACACCATGTTTTCCCAATTCTACCTCCAATCATATATTCTCCTGCCAAGCTAAATAAATATTATATCATTCCACTTTCCTTATATGTGCTGTTTACCACACTTAATCGAAGTGCATATATTTTTTCTTCCTAACCACCCTTTAATTATTGTGTTTCTGAATGTCCTTATTTAATCTGTAATAATATTTTTTAAATTATTAAATTATAATTTAATTAACACCTTTGAAAATGATCCTTCTGTATTATTAACTCTGTATGTTTCTGAGTATTCATACTACCCCAAACAGATACAGGCACCTTGCTAGAGATTGATTTCTGTAGTAGTTGTGCTGGGCCTCTGAAGATATGCAGAAAAAACTAAATTTCTCATCATAATAAATCTGCTCTGATTAAGTAAATACTCTCTGTAGTCAGCACGTTTTTTAAAAAACTGTTCAATAAAATATTAAATTGGAAAGATTAAGCTATACTTTGCATTTGCAACTGTAAAAATCAATGTTTGTTTACAGTAACTATTAAATTAATATACATATTGAGAAGCAAGTTCTCACAAGTAAAACCAGACAACCAGAGGTTTCAGTTTTAAGTAAAAGGAGCCTTACTATTTTTTTTTTTTTCATTTTTCTCAATTTGTTCATTTGATCTAGGCATCTTGCAATTTAGAACCTTTATTCTTTCTTCATGAAACATCTTAGATTGTAAGTTACTTCTTTGACTGTCATGAGAAGTCAAGTCACATAACTTTCAGAGGCATTTTTAAAGCAGTATTCACTTCTATCCAGGAATTACATTTTCCTATCCTTGTAAAAAGTGTGAGTTAAACATTCTTAAGTTATTTGCTGGACACATTCCTCCAAAAACTTCTCTCACCTATACTGTTTTTCTTCTATATAAACTGCATTAATACAAAGATGTGAGTCATATTCCTGAATAATTCTATTCAAGTTGACAACAATCGTTTCCAGATCGGCTTGTACTATAAAAGTTATAAGACTTTGGAGGTCCCTTTGTAAGTTAATTCTCAAATACCATAAGCAGATCTTCCTACTTTAAAATAACACACAAACAAAAAACCCCACCAAAAACCCCAAAAACAAACAAACCAAAAAACCAAACAAACAAAACCCCAAGAACAAACCATAAACCAAAGCCAGGTAAATCTAAATGATTCAAGTGTAGTATTAAACAGAAAAGTTATACTCGAACCCCTTGGTTCCTTATCAAGTTAACAAGACATAACAAGCTACAAAATGAAGGTGTGCTACTTTTTTAATCTTCCTCTCTGGGATGTTAACTGAGTGAAAGCTACTTGATTCTCTGTACACAATTCACATTTTTAATACAGCTGCTTCTAATAATTGAAATGTTTCTAACACAATTTGAGGGATGAGGGTACAATAAAATGTCCATTTGTGAATGTTCACAGCCTTTCCTGTCACAGACACAATACAAGAGAAACCACTGGAAGATAAACACTTTAATTTGAAGACTTTAATTACTGTTTGATATGAACACGTAAGTCCTTAAGCACCTAACAGATTACCACAGTAATAATTATAAACAGTTGTATCATCATCCTTCAAGTGGAGTTTCTTAGAAAGCACAGACATGCTAGCCAGTATTCTGAACAGGCTGAGTTCTGTCAGTATTCTGAATAGTCAAATGATCCTCATTCCTTTAATAATCTTGCTCTTATGTCATATATTTTATACTCTAACAAAAGCATATACATGGATTATTCCTGTTTTAATCAAGGCAATGAATGTTGGTAACATGAACCATACATTTTCTTTAATGTTGTTTTTTAGTACAGGAAAAAAACTTGAGGTTTGGAGCAAAAATGCAAATGATGCTTTCTAATATCACTAACTAATTTCACTTTAGGGTTCCATTATCACAGCATAGACACTAGGTTTCATTTTTATTACTAACAGACTTCATTTACCACTGTAAAAATAGTCTGTTAACCACAGAAAGTAAAATTCACCATCAGAGTTCTGGTTTTAGGAATCCAACTTTTTCAGATATTCTGTCAAATAATAAACCGTAGTCATCTATACCTGACTTAAAAGAAACTACATGTGTTTTGAATTCAAAATATGTCCCTGTAATATCTACAAAGGTATACACACCTGAGGAGTGTGTGCTAGATAGAATTAGAAGCCAAGAAAAAGAGGTATTGACCATGCTGAAACCAGCTTCCTGACCAGAGAACCAAGCAGTGTAAGCAGAACAATAGCACTGCTTGCATGAACAGGTAACATGCTTTATCCTTACTGATGAACTGTAAATAGAAACTATATGTATATTAACTTTAACATTTAAATAACTAAAAATTAAAATATACAAAGGCATACAAAATTCAAGAATACATATTTCAGAAAAAAAAAAGATACCTGTATTTATGATGATTTATCTGATTTATCATGCGTTCGGACTATCTGATTTCATCTCCACATTCCAAACTTATTTTTCAAATTACTTCTTAATATTCCGGATTATTTATTGTGTGGAGCCAACAGTTATAAAAGAAGATAGATATAAGAGCATTTTGATGACAGAAACTTTGTCTAATCCATTCTAAATTGCCAGTGAGGAAGATGCTGCATCATCGACAAGATAGGTTGGTTCCAGTCTTTAACTGTCCTTGTACTTAGAAGGATTTTCCAAATATGTAGCCTGTTATTTTTGACTGCAAATTAAGCTAATTTTTTTTGTCCTTCCACAACTAGGTACAAAAGAAATTGATGACCATCTTTTTCACGATTCTTTTTCAGATTCATGATGATCTTCAGATGTCATATTATTTTCCCCAGTTCTCTCTTGACTAAGCAAGTACAACTCTTTTGGAACATGCCTTCTAAATCTTGCTTTCCAACAATGTTTTCATTCATGTTCTCCTATGCATTCTCCTTTACCTGAACATTGAAATAATCTTCCTTTTTCAGACTTTATTTTCGCACAAATAAAACAATTTTATTCACTGACTTTTATTTTGGCTATTTTGCAGGAGTGTTCTTTGGTTTTGTTTCATCTGTATATGGAGGTACCAGATTACTTGAAATTTTACAGTACTGTAGAGAAGTAGGCCCCACAGACCCTTTTAAAAAATACATCTCTATATCTCTCAGTAACTTTTCTGGAAATCAGTAATTACAATTTTCTTTGAATCTAGAGTAAGTCACTTTTTCTTACTTTTTCCTTTTCTTCAAAGAACTGGATGAAACAGGGATTTTGTATATCTTCTTAGTTTTACAGTGAATAGCTAAAACAAGAATTATGCTATTCTTCATAAATAAGCAGACAGATGGACAGACAGGCATTAATCTAGTTTTTTATTGAGAATCAAGCAAAACAGAAGGGAGATTTGACTCAAAGCCTGTATCTCTCTCTATTGTCTCAAAAAAGGTAATGTCTGCTGAAATAGAGTTAGAAGGTTGTTGTTAGTTGAAGTATGCTATGGAGTCTCTCTTTGATGATTACACAGTTACTAATTTGTGATAAAGGTATGTCACGCTTTACATTGTTTTCAATGAGTTTTGCCTAAATAAAGAAGAAATATTCTGGACCAAGAAAAGGAAAACAAAGGATGCACGATAATAACAGATCAATTCTGAAGTGGCGATCTGTCTTCACATTTATTACCAAATGCCTGCCTTTAGAGAATCCAATTTCTTTACTTTTTTAACCACAGATAGTTTATCTCAGGAATCTTCAAATTATTTTCTTGGAAAGAAGGGGGAAATAAAAGAAAGTGATAAACTTCACAGTAGTTTATGACATTTAGCCCGGATTTTCTGCTTCTTTGCTCTACTTCACTTGTGCAGACCAGGCAACTGTATCATAGTCACATATGAAAGTTCTTCTCAGAAGTGGTTTCTACAGTTTGGTTTTGCTTTTTAATATTCATGCAATTTAGTCATAGGGAACTTTCACAATGAATTCCTGAAATTTAGTAGTTGTTCTTTGTAATCTAGTTAATCCATCCATCTGCAAAATGTGCATGATACCTAGGTGTACTCTCAATAGACTGAGTAAATAGGCTGAAGGGATCCCAGTAGCATTACACTCCTGCTCAGAGACACCCAATCTCCATCTCCAGAAATGCATCTACCCTTCAGCCAAACTTCTGAATGCAGTTATTTTCTCCTTCCCATACTCCAACTTAGCTTCCAGCAGCTTGTACAAACTATGTCCCCCCACTTCCTCAGGAAACATAGAGAGGCAATCCCCCAGCAAGTGATGACTTAAGCAGGAGTGATGGACACAGCATGTATTCACCACGAAGAGAGAAGCAGTCTATGAAAACTTCTCTAGCAGACAGTTGTACCTGCACTATCTGCCATAAGATTTTGTAGAATGTCTTTTTGCAGAAGTCTTCAAACTACTCTTTTCCTCAAAACAGGAACTACCAGTTCTGGTAGTTCAGACATTAGGTTTAGAATATGTAACGTACTCAGAAAGAAGTGGATAACTTCAAGTATTTTGTTTGGAAAGTTCATGTAATTTTCTAAAACTAAACTATGGGGCATCCCAGTATTATAACTTTATATAATTCACTTGCATTTCCAAATTACAAGGTCATTGTAAGAAAAAATACTTTTTTTCAACTAGGTATGTAATATATATGACAGATTTGCTCTATGTTATTCTTCATCTATGTGTATATAATTCTACTTTCTTATATTCTTCATTGATATTCTCTTGCTTTTTCAAATGCAGTTTCTATTACTGGCAAAAGTATAATCCTAGTGATGTCAAAACAAGCCAAAAGTACAGAATTGTACATTCAAACTAGAGAAGTGATTTTTCCTAGCATAGGTCCCTACTGTGTGTCGCACATCTGATTGATGGCAATACGGTAAAGCCAGAATAGCCATTTAGTTCCTCCAGAAAAGCTGCCTGCTTCTCCAGATACTAAATCAACAGGCAAATTTATGCTGAATACTTGTTAGGATGGTCTATTTTCTTACCAGTATTCCATTAAGAATAATTTCCTATTAAAATCTAGTTCCAAACACCTACTTTCAATCTTACTTCTCAAACTCTGGCTATTTTCCTTTGATTTATAGCATCCTAAAATTTTGTCCGATTTATTTCATTTATGTCCTTTATGTCCTCAGCACCCACCAGAGGAGCTGATATCTTTTCAGAATCTGCATGTTGTTTTTATGTGAGCAGTTTATTTCCTCTCTTTACCTCTGAGTGACTTAAAAGATAATACTCAACTGAACCCTAACAGATAATATTCCAATATTGTCTGACTGGCCACATTTTCCTTTCTTTTTTTATTTTCTGTCTTCAGATTACAGATGTTAATCCCAGGCCACAAAGTAGTCTATAAATGTAACCTTATTTTATCTTTTTGTGCAGTTTTTTCTGCACATAGTTTTCCACAACCTACAAAGTCAGAAATTATAATGAAAATAACTAGTCAAAATATGACCTGCAACCTAATATTAATTATATCACATACTGAAAAACTGCCCAGGTAGTACAGAGATTACGCTAATCCCAAGACATTACTGCAAATACTTTTTTTGAAAACTGCATAAATATTCAGTGGAGTCCTTACCCCATTATGTGCATGATGAGGTGACTATTTTATATTGAAGCATGTCCACTTCAGCATTATATCCTTCTTGAAAGTCTCAGAATAAAATGCTAAAGCATTAATGTATTATATTTCAGGTTTTTATCCTATGAGGGGGTCCACACAGGTGGGACCCAAAATGCATTTTAATAATGAAGTAAATCCATTTACTCAAATGGTCCTATAATGACTTCTTTATTGTAACCTTGCTTATCTTGAAAAGAATATTCACTCACCCAGCTGGCTTTACAGTTTCAATTTTAAAATACTTTCACATCAGCTAAGAACTGTTTTCCTTTTTATTGTCCTCCTCTGACTTTCTTAATTTAACAGATTTTAATATATTAGATTTTTTATGCTTTCTTCCCTTTTAATTGTCACACATTATACCCAAACTTAAAATACATTAATTGACATTTCTGGTCTGAAAGATACCTATAGATTACCAGTTTTCATGTAATTGCATTTTTTATTTAAAGCAGGCTAGTACAGTTGTAATAATTGCCAACTGGATGTAGTGCATAAGGTTACATCTGTGTTACTGAGCTAAACCTGGCTCAGGCACATGCTTGAGCTCTACCATGTGATAATCCATGCCATTTAACTGCTAGCATGCTCTTTGGTACGCTTCTCACCTAGGCCAGCAAGCACTTAGGTAAGACACTGAAGGATACGGGGAACAGCATGGGTTAGGGAGTCTTCTTACAGGCAGTATGAACAAGGCCACCCTGGCCCAGGAGAGCAAATGGGTTAGCCAGACAAATGTGAGCTGTAATTTGTTAATGACTCTTGACTGGGTTGTGGAGCATTTTGTTTTCTAGTACAGATGTGATCTAAGAAATTAAATGCCATCAAAAACAGGTAGAGTGCCTTCTTATGATCCTGTTACCAGACTTATGCAAAGGATTTGAGCTGCTGGCATGGGAGAAGGGTAGACAAGGGTTGACTGTGACTTTCCCATGGCAGGCAAATTCTCAGCCTATGAGTAGGAGTGGATCTTGGCTACCTTGTGCTACCTCAAGTGGGCAGAACGGGGTACAGAATCTGGACCTCTTCGTGTCTTCAGGTACTTTTCTACACTTTCCAGTACTGTTTCTGTTAGCTGCCTCTTCAACTATCTTTTCAAATAAATGTTCCGATTTGTAGACGGTCTTAGATTTCCTTTTTTTCAATACTATTCTCCTGGAAACAAAGAAAAAATTAAACACTCAAGAAACTTGAAAAAAATCTGCTTTCTAGTGTTTCTTTAAATGTCTGACACATTTTCAGAATATATTACCCAAATGGTACTAAGTCAATAATTAGGCTCTCTTAGACAGCATCATATGACCCAAGCTGTCCTTCCATTTTATCTTTGCATGACGGCGAGCTTAAAGTTCCCATTTCCACTTCTGGTTTTGCCTACTTTATACTTCACTAAACATTTATTTACAGCAGAATCTTCCTCTTAGTCTATTCCAGTGTTACTGCTGAACCAGCTTTCTGCTATTACTCTTCAAACCCATTACCTTCCCGTCAGTAATTTTCACGATATGTTTGTTTTTTTCTGTTCTTTCTATGAAACCAGAAGATTTGTACAGTCATAAGATCTTAATTTTGGATCTAGTATCTCTTTTTTACCTGATCACTATCAGATCCAGGATTGAATTAAGTCTTACTACTTCTTCCAATTATTTTAAGTACTATACAAAAATATTCTTCTGTAACCTACTTTGAAACACCTCTTGCATGTAACTCAAATCCTTCTTTTACAACTTTTCATATATTTTCATACACATAGCAACATATCTATATATAACATACATACGTCTGTATACATATATGATGATCATAGAGACCCTCATAAACCTAGAGAAAGGTAAATGAATCATTCAACAAAATCTTCATGGATTTTGCATATTCTATTTTCATTTGTGAAATTATTTCTGTGTCTGCCAGCCATGTGAATTGCAAGACCTGCCAGCAGAGTGGTTGTTTTATAAATTATGCTTTCTCTCACCTTATATGCCTTATATAGCAACTGATAGTTATATTCTATTTATGTCTCAGCCAGACTTGTTAGTAATGCGATCAAAGAACATTTCTTGGAATTTGTAGTGGTACTGCACCTCTCAAGACCACCTGTAACTAAGCTGTGTTTATGAACAGAAAGACTTATTCTTTCATGATTATTTCCTGCAGGATTTTTTAGATGAAATATGTTTTCACATCTTGATGTAGCAATTCACTCAACTTTATTCTCCTCTTGCAGATGTTTCCCTGTGGTTACACTTACTCATTTGCTGAAAAATCATTCCTGTTTTGTTAGTATTTCCACTTAAGCTTTCCTCATTGTTCCTAATATATCTAAAAATAGAGACTTTTTAACTGATTGTTTTAACTGAGACATTATCACCGAAAATTGCAAATCAAAAATATACCAAGTATATCATTATCTTCAAACTACAAGTCTAAATTTTAGATTAGTAGTACTATTAAGCAAGTAATACTAATTAAACAAGTACTGTAAAACAACAGTTTTGTAACTTAACAAGTTATATCAATACAGTACTCCCAAAACTAATTTTCTAAAACTACACTAATTTAAGTCAGTTTCATGTACTTCCTTCTAACAATAATACACCATTGTTAGAATTGTATTATTTCTCATGATGAGTAAGGCCTCATTCCATAACTAGTCTGCTGTAAAATGAATACGACTATTAAGTAACAGACTATTTCAGGATTTGTATTGCATTATATAGTTAATAAAAAGGACAAATCTTCAGTAAGGAGTAGTGACTTAACTGTATGCATGCCAATTTATACCATTTGAGGATATACCCCAGAAAGGCCTATCAGGTTTTACATAGTTTTTAATATTCTTTCTTTCTCTATGGATGATTTCATATAGTGGGGTTTTTTTTTCAAAAATCATTACAGTTTATGCAACTTCTGGCAAAAATCTTCCTGCTACTATTGTTCAACACAAACTCTATCCTTGGTGTAACTGTTTTAGAGATCCCAAATTGCCTCTGTTTTCTAATCCTTGTCTGTACTGTCATCCTCATGCTCAGTAAACAAATCTGGCAAAGAAGGTGCTTTTTTAATGGCCTCAAAATTATGCAAAGTCCTGCTTGTAACTACATTAATTAAAAACTTGTAGGCACCATAAATTACATTCTCAGTCACATCTCCAATCATTTTCTAGCATATTGCTATTATTACTGCTATTATTATTACTGCAAATTACTGTAAGTATCAGAAGAGGCTTCAGAGTCATTTTACCCACCTAAAGCCAAATTTTTGAACTGTACAATGACAAACACTATGTTTTATCATGGTATTCCTTCTATTGCAATCCAAAGAATTTACATTATCTAAAGGACATTTAGTATAGCTAATAAAATATGTAGGTAGCTACTCCATAGAAAAAAATAACTTGTATTTAATATTTCTGCTATAACAGGGTGTGATTTTCAAAACTTTTGCTGATTTTATGGATCTATATCTTTTAGTTGTCTTTTTTTAAACTCCTTATATTAATATCAATACAAAGCACTCCTTCCACCAGCATTTTCCTTTATCTGCAAATAAAAATCCAAAAACTCCTGCCATATTATTTATGAACACAGGATGTTTGCTTTTATTCAGATGCTCTTTTTAAGTTAGCATTCCTATATTGAACAAGTACCATAAGTCTTTATTTTTACAGGAATGTTTATCTCTATTCATAACTATTATTCCATGGATGTAAGAAGCATGGTACTTTGATCTTCTGAAGGCACATTTACCATAAAGAACTTTAAATGCTGTCTCTGAATTGTAAAGTTTCTTCTTTTCCTTACTGGAAGTCCTAAAATAGCAGATCCATCCAGTGTTTAGAAGTATATATATTCTTGAGTATATGGGATCATGCTCAAGGCAATATTTTAGGCAAATGAATGTAAACATACTCAAGAACAAAGGTACCAGTATTGAACCAAAAGAGTTAGGAGAGTCCAGTGTAGAAAGGAATCAGAAACTTAGTTTAAGAGAAGGAACCAAAACAAAAGAGAAGGGGAGAAGACAGAGAACTCAAGAGAAGGATATAAATCAAGAAAATATCACCATAGGGAGAAAGAAAATAATTTCATCTTTTACAAAGGCACACTTTACCAGTACCCAACTTTGTAAAACTCCCCCACTTTCTGCAAGTGAGACATGTAGGAATCAATTGTTAAAATAAAGACTAATGCTGTATTTTATTAAATCTATATGTCTTTAATATGGATTTTATACTCTTCACATTGATTTTACATTTCTACAAACATCTTTAAATCACAATTACATTAGGAAACCAGCACATTTTATATGATGGCAGAAGAACAATATTTTTTGACTCTTCAAAACCATTAAAAATTAATGAGTGCCATATTCTTCTTTTTCTATGTCTTCACTACAGTACTATCAGTCCCAGAAAATACTGGTATCAGCATCAAAGGAAGGGCCAGCAATCTTTCACGTCAGAAGTTAGGACAATACTTTCAACATGGATTGTCAGAGAGGTAGCAAGTGAAAAGCTTCAGAAGGCATGGTAGCTAAAAGGAGTCAGGAAAAGAAAAAAAAAACAGGGAAAGATAAGATAATAAGATCAAAAAGGACAGGAAAAACAAAATACACAGAAAATGGCAACCGTAACAATTGTGTTTATTCATATTAGAAACAGCACAAGAACACCGACAGAAAAGATGAGGAATAAGGCAGCCAGTCTTAAAGAGATCCAGAGAAAAGACCTAGTACAGTATGAAATGCTCAGTTATTCCTCAATTAAGGTGACTGCCCACTCACTTAACTTTAGTTTGAGCTAGTCAGTTCAGAGCAGGATTCCTGGGAAGTCAGTAGACTGAAATGGGCACCTCCAGAGGGCGATTCATCCCATCCTAAGGTCTGAATATTGGACCCTGAATCACATAGTTGAAATGTAATTAATTTTGTGAAGTTCACTAGGTATTTACAAACCTAGCAACATATCTTCAAGCTGAATACTTACGGCAACAGCATCTGGATCAAAATGAGATACAGCACATTTTCAACTTCCTTTAATCCTGAACAAGGAAAATTTACAAGTGACTTTCATCCACACAGACCATGTAATAGGTTTGTGCTGCATAATATTTTGCTACTGAACACTACTTGTGTGCATTACACTGTGCATAAAAATGAAGACTGACCCTAACAAAATAAAGGAAGTTTGTTTTTCTGTTAGAACTAATTAAGTACTTCTTGGGCTTTATGTTTATCCACTGCAAATAAAAATTAAAGCTTGATATCACTGGGATTCTATATTTGCAGGACAACATTCACAACATAGCAGTAAGGGTTGAGTATAAAATACAGCATGAATTCTCTTATTTAGAACTTCTAGAAGTTTTATGAATGAACATGAATAGTACAGTTATGTCAGTTTTTCAGTATTCAGATCTTCACTGGGTGCCCTTAAAAACTGCTTCCCAGTGACACAGACGTGGCACAGGAACAGGAAACCTATTGCACAGCAATTCATAGAACAGTTCTTATGTAGACCTATCTCTATCAGCAGAAATTAATATACTACATTCCAAAAAGTAGATGTTACCATTCAAAAATTAATTGTGAGCTGGCACCATAAGGCCTCTCCTTGCTCCACCCATTTTCCACTCTCTGACTCCAGTCAGCAATGGGGCAGTTTTAGAGGGGATGTACATTTACTGCTGTACATCTGCTCAGACCTCAGTTACACTAAAGTGTTGTTCAGGTGGACAGTTAAGGTATTTTATGCATAACCCTGAGTGAATGTAAGAAAATGGGAGGTTCTTATCTTTGTAGTTAAAAAATAAACAGGTTTTTGCATGGTAAATCATGAAGACCAGTTATAGTCACTGTGTGAATAATAGTTAATTGCTCAGTTAAAAATACAACATTTCCCCAAACATTTATTCTACTATAATACCATATATACTCAGAGGAATAATGCAGTAACTAACCACATAAATGAACAAATTACAGAATTAAACCTTTTTTGGTAATTTCCTAATTTATTTTATTTTATTACAGCTTATGGATGAAATCCACATACTGATGTCTAACCTGTAACAAATGCCAATGTAAGTAATCCATTGTTCTACAACTTCATTTGATTATGAATGGATTAACTTTGCCTAGTTCTGCTGAACAATGATTAATTAGCACTTTCTATTTTCAGTTTCAGCATTATTACAATTAGGTTTTACATACAAATTTTGCCATTCCTAACTGTTATTGCCTGTCTGCCTGCACTCTTTCCCAAATGCTAGAATAGAATTAACTGAAATACATACTAAAAAATGGCTTTGATTTTGTCATGTCTAATAATGGCGTTTTTAAGAGCTAACCTGGGAACATAGAACATTGAAGCAGTCATCATTTTTCAGTAGAATAATGCATTTTGTGATTCTGGTTGGCCCTGAAAGTCAATTTAAAACCTTTCTTAGAAGAGACCATGTTAAAATAAAAATGCACAGTGACTAGAAGTACAACTCAGCACAGCAGTTAGTCAGAACACTGAAGTCTTACTCTGGTTTTTCCATGCAAGCACAAAGCATAACATATCTGAGCACTAAATACAAAATATTAGTGCAAACACTTACCTGACTCCTCCCTTTTACCCTATTATTTCTACTATGCTCATTAAGTTTTTCTAATCTTTCCTTCTGTAAGGGAAAATAATTTCCCCCTCTCCATTTCAGTTTCTTCCTTTGCTTTTTCCTGCTCACCTGCACAATTTCTGAAATTTCAAATTTTAAAATGGCTATGAATCCAATCCTGGGGTGAAATACCAAGTTCTGAAAGGTTTTAGCATGGCTGAAGATCAGTGGCTTAAATTTTGAGTGTTTGTGTTCTCTCATTTCCAACAAATACATAAAATCATCAGAATAAAGTTTAGCAATGAAAATCTATTTAGATAACTGTAGTTGTAGAATGAAATCATCATTCTGTGAAGAGCTCTGCTCATACAGCAAAACATAATGATGATCTTTATTGATTTGAACTATATCATTATCTCTGATACCTTATTTTTATGCTTGGTTGTTAAGAAAAGTGCACGTCCACTTCTCTCCTTTAGTAGCCATTCTAAATGATGCACTGCATGTTTCAATGAATGAAATTATTTATGCCTTTAAACACTTTATAACCACCCTATTATATTTAAAAGGAGATAAAAATAGCTAGTGTTAAGACTAGCATATTGTACACAAATGTAAATATTTTCTCTCCTGTAACAATTCCTAAACAACATTTATTACCTGCATCCACTACATATATTTTTAGATCTCAGTTCCTCTAAACACAAAATCCATCGTTAGAATATTTTTTCAAGTTGCTTAAAAGCCATAATATCAAATGCTGTTTCGCAGATAGTATCAACATTTGATGTTTCACTGACATGGTAACAGGAAGTCAGCTCAGTGTAAGCTACTTTGTAGAAGATAGTGCCAGAACTTCAAGGTGTTACCTCTCAGGAATCATGAACTCCTGCAGTCTTTAAAGATAAAATGACACATGACAAGCAACGAGAGTAATGCCAATTTTTTGGGACCAACACTGACTAACTAAAAGAATGATCTCTATATGCATATAGAAATCTGCCCAAGAAAGAAACACCGGAATAGTCTTCTATTAAAATAATGTACCCTCTAACAAAAAGAAAAAAAAGTATGCTTTATTTTACTATTGTTACGGTCATCTTGGTACATAATCTATTCGTTTGGTCACATGCTGAAAGGACAATTAATTTCTGAATTTGAAACTTGAGCAGAAATCATGCATCTTATTAGCTAAGTTTAGTCATAGACATAAATATGCAATCATAATCAATATTAAAAGCAAAACTGTTAAATAAAAGCTTAAAACTGACTAAAATATCTGTGACCAAAAAACCCTACTGCATTTAAAAAAAAGCCTTGCATTTAAGGGAATGCTCTAGGACATTGCTTTCAATATTTTTGCTGACTCTTTAGTCTTCACGAACAACTTTCTAGGAATCAGCAAAGTAATAATTAAGAAAAGTAACCATACTGTTTGTAAGCTTCAACCTATCTCCAGTAAGTGCAATAATCCATTGAAATTAGTTATTTATTTTCAGGAAGGTCATAGATCACTGAAAAATGTAAATCAAATGGACCAGGGTTTAGAAACCTGAGATTTTTTTTCTGCTGTCTAGTAAAACAAACATCTAAAAGTCATAACTCACCATGTGGAAAAAACCCCCATCACATTCTTATGAGTGTTACATGAAGCAGACAAAAGGAACAAATTAATTAATGTATGATCAGCAGATTTCAAATGATGGGACACGTCCCAGTTGAAGAAGGTGCAAACTGTATGTTGGAAAGTAGAAGCATTATTATTTTTGTACCCAGCACTTCCACAGCATCTCACTTGGATCCCTTTGTATTCACTGGTGAGGCCACACCACTAATATTGTGTTTGAGGCTCCTTGCTACAAGACAAACATTGAGGTGTTGGAGCTCTAGAGAAGGGCAATGAAGCTGGTGAAGGGTCTGAAGCACAAATCTGATGAGGAGTGGCTGAGGAAATTGGGATTGTTTAGCCTGGAGGAGGCTCAGGGGAGCCCTTATCACTCTCTACAACTACCTGAAAGGAGGTTGTAGCCAGGTGTCTCTTCTCCCAGGTGACAAGCAACAGGATGAGAGGAAATTGCCTCAAGTTGTGCTAGGGGAGGTTTAGATTTGATATTAGGAAAAATTTCCTTACTGAAAGAGTTGTCCAGCACTAGAACAGGCTGCCTGGGGAATTTAAAAGATGTGTAGACATGGCTCTTAGAGAGATGGTTTAGTGGTAGACTTTGTGCTGTTAGGTTTATAGTTAACTTGATGATCTAAAGGGCCTTTTCCAACCTAAACGATTCTATGATTCTGTTCTAAGATTCGTCTGTCTGTTTGCATCTGCAGTGTGGAACCCCATACACAGGAGGCAGAAGTATAGCAGGACAGAAGAGAAGCTTTAGATAAGAGAGATTCATAGGACCATTTGTACCTTTGCGTGTAATGTTCCTGGAGCAAGCAGAAAAGTAGGTTTTCCATTCAAAAGGGTCATGTGCAGGAACTGGAAAAGAAAGTGAAGTTCCAGAAGACATGGGGAAGGGTGTAGCTAGGGCAGGTGTGGAATGAGCAAGAGTCAGTTAGAGAGCTGTAGCCACGTTTAGTAGTAAAGTGACTTCCAACTGATCCCAGTATATTTATCCAACTGTGATCCTTCCACCTCTTGGAAAAATGCCTTTTCTGATACCTATTCCAAATTCTTCATTCACATACACTCATCCCCAGACCTACCTATGTACCCCATCACTGCTTCTGTACCCATACGCCTTGTCTAGTCTCATGAATCCCTCTCTCTTGTCACTCACAGATGACAGCAGGAAACCACTATTTTCTACACTATAACAGAAGTCACTCTCTCCTCCCTTACGTGTTCCTTTCTGGTACAAGACAAAAATTCCCCTCTCCTAGTAGCTCAAGCCTGAGCAAAAACAACTTCAGAATCATGTAAGTTAGCAACAGTTATTTAGCAAGATAATACAAAACATGCACAAATCCCCTCATTTTCCATATATGTATCAATACATGAGTAAGAAACACACTATAATAATTTTAGATAAAACAAATTATTTCTTCAAGATAAACATATTTATACCATTTGAATACAGCTTATAATTTGGTGTGTCTAAAATTTGACACTACCATAATTCCTAACATAAATATGCACAGTATGTTGGAAAAGTTAACATCTCTACAAATTACTTATGGATGTGCTTGTATGACGCTCAGGACAATAGGAAGTAAGGTATGTCAAGGGCAATTAAATACAAATATTTTATGACGCTGGAAAATTTTCAATAGCAGAAAAAAAGTAGTAAGAGACATGATACGAAGACAAAAAGCTTTTTACAATGTAAGATTACCATTCAGGGTAATTAGAAGAAGTTGGTCAAATACAAGACATGCTAATACTCATACGGAAAGTTTATGTCTGTTAATAATGACAGAATAGAAAATTTTAAAATCTGTTTTTCTGCATTGAGAAACCAAATATTAATCCAAAGATGAAGCTATATTCTAATCTAGTGGAGTGGACAAGTTTAATCTTTGTCTGATGAGGATCCAAGACTTGCAAAATTATACTCACTTCTCAGGAAACTAAATCTACTAGTCAGTAGTAGACAGGAAACGTCAGGCTAGTGAAGAATTTTAAGGGATACTCAGGAACAACACAAAGATTAAGAACTCCACAGTTCTGTTACTAGGGAATGTGTGATGGGGCCAGAAGGATTAATGCTACCAGACTGCTCTTCTTGGCTCCTTTCTGGGAACCTCTTGCTGTTGTTTCTGGTGGAGAGGCATGCAACCAGTCTAAAGCTGAGAAAGCAGGGCATGCTCTCTAATTTTTCATACACCCCAGTACAGCAGTTCCCACCTTCTTTGGAACAACAGATCGTTATCAGTCCTTAGCATTTTTCAAAAACTACCACACACCCACCTCATCAAACTTTTAATTGGAAACCCTATTTAAAGCACTGTTAACTATGGGTTATCCAAACAGGTGTTCAACTCACCACAAACTTGGAGTCTAGGAGGGGTTTGCAGACAACAGCTTGGAAACCATTCCAGCTGTTCCAAAGGTACAATGATGTCTTCTACTCCATCCCTCTGGACCTTCTGCTTGCTGCTTGAAACACTTCTGCTTCTTTATCTGATTTCCCACGGGACTAATTTTAGGGCCTGCTACTGCTTTTAATTTGTGAAGTAGCAGCAAACTGGTATTTTCCATTGCCCATAGGTTTGTAAAAAGAAGTAAAACTGATCTGCCCATCTGTAATATTGCTACTGCCAGATAAAGGAACAGACAGACAATAAAAAACATCTATGGATTTAAGATAATGAGACTTATTTAGAGATTTACTTATTTAGAGATAAGCTATAATTCTGCACAGGTTAGATTTTTACCACAACTGGTTCGCGACAAGTGGAGCTTTCAAGACCAGGAAACTGCTGGGTTTTGTGCACTTGAAAACATGTATCCACAAAACTATGGCAGATAAAACTCTTATGCAGCCTTTTGTCATCTTAAAGACCACCTAAATGAAACAACACAGTCACCAAAGGCCTTTTGTTTTTCTCTTATGAGAAACTAGGAGTTACAGTTCCCTGTTAAAAAGAGATTTATAGTCCCCCTTCCATATATTCATGGTTTTAGAGACCTTTTTCACATTACCTACTCCTCAGTCAACATTCTTCCAAACTGAGGAATCCTGATCCATTTATTGTCCCTGCAGCAGAGTTATTCCATACCTCTTAGTCATTCTTTTCTGTATCATATACAGTTCTCATCAGTGCTCAAACCTGACCAGCACGTCATTTGAAACCTCTGTTTCAAATACTATTTTGTCACTTTTTGCTAGCATCAATTTTATACAGAATGATTTTAGAAAATTATCTGGAGCTGCTAAAATGCAAACCCCATTAAGGTGGTTTGAGAGCCCTGGCATCTCACGGCAGCAAGATACTGCCGATCAGCAAGAGTGATATTCCAACACCGTGGCAGGCAGGACTCCAGGTTCAAAACCTGTACTTTAGCCTCATTGAGGCTGTGAAACCCTAAGAAACAGAGAGAAAGAATCTTCTCTTCAATTTGCAGCTCCTGCTGTTAGAAAGAGCAGCTACAAGTCCCTGCCTTCCTGAGTGGCAGAACTGGTCACAGCCTGCTGAGCTCACAGTTTACGGTGTGATGGCTGCTGTAATCCAACAGCCACTGCCTCTCTCTGATGATAGATATGACTGAACAGTGGGGTCAGCAATATCTGGCCACTCTGACAGCCAAGGCTCCTGGATCACCACAGGTCCTGCTGTGAGATCCTTCTGCAGCTCTTCAGGGTCAACAATAGGTCTCACTCCAACTGTGAATATTTTCCTTTTATCACCTGCAATCTATATCACTTTTTCAGACTGTTTAGGAACAGGTGGACCAGAAAAACTGCCAGTACAAACCTTTGTGAGGTGGCAGTGTGAAAACTGCTCATTAGTCACTATACTGTTCCTTATCTTCTAACACTTTACTAATCCACAAAGAATTTTAAGTGACTCTACACTTCATTTTGTTAACAGTCTTTGGTTACAGAACTTCTTAAAAAACTTTCTCAGTCTTTCCTGTGAATCTGTTGATTCCTTCAAATAACTTGCAAAGCTCTAAGACAAAAGTACTTCTGGAAAAGCCAAGACAATGATCACCTGTTACACCTATCCACATTCTTATTAATGGTATTCTTTATCACATTTACCGGCATTTTGTCTGTCATGGTAGCCAGATTTTTTAGTTCCATTAGTTCATGACCATCTCTAGAGCCCTTTTTAAAACTAGGATCAAATTCATTATTTTCCATTCCTCTGTTATCAAGGCTAATTTAAGTGACAGATTACAAAACACAATGCATGGCTCACCAATTTAATTTCTGAATTTTTCTAGGACTACTGAATGAACATGTTATTTGGCAATTTATTAATGTTTATTCAATCAATTTGATAAAAAATCTTTTATTGCTATTTCAAATATGAACTATTTCTTATAAAAAATTATTTCTATGTGGGGATGTCCCTAATCTCCATCATAAATCTTGCCAGTGCAATGAGTTCAGTTGTTTCTTTCTCTGATGGCTTTGTCTTCAATATTCTCCTTAACAACAATTATCTCTTAAACTTACCTCCTTACTAGCAAAATTTACACCTGAAAAAAATAGGGTTTGGCTTTTAGAATTTTAGCCCATTGCATTTCAAAATCTTTTTGTTCTGCCTTACAATAGGTCTACATTTAACTTGCCAGAATTGTGCTCTTTTCTGCTTTGCTTGCTTGGATTTTAACTTTTTTAAAAAGCTCTCATAATTTCTAGTATTTTCCTTTATTGTTGAATTGTGTAAGATAATTCTCATTCAACTGGGTTGGACTCAGAAAACAGAGCCCCTGTGAATTTTTTAATATTTATTTAAACTGTATCTTCATTAGTATGCAACTCTTTTTCACACAACACTGGGCCTTTTTTTTCATTTTATTTTAATCTTTTCTCTCCTACAAGTGTGATAAACTTGAATATGATATCTCACTACTGAATGGTTCTTCTATTTGTTGTATGCTGATCTTGACCAAACCAAGGGCTGTCCTCCTCTTCTGGATTCTCTACTTCATTTGCCCAAAAAGTAGTTCTTGATGATACCTAAATACACAGCCTGTGCAAGATGGCGCAATGTAGTAGAATGTAAAGTTTATCCAGACTATACTTATATTACCAAGGACTCTTGCTACAATCAAGCTTTCAGGTTGTACAGCCTCTCCAGTCTCCCACAGTATTTCACAGAAACTGTCTCCATCCCATAAACTTATTAAACCCTTATTAAACTTCTCCTATTCAGCTACAGAACCACTTGTAATTACATTTTTTTGTTTATTCTGATAAAATTATTCGACTATAATTTCTTTGGTACATACAGTACCATTTGTCTGCATAGTCTAATCTACCATCTCTGTATCAGCCAGGCACTAAATATCTCATCATCTCTCTATGACCTATACACTGACATTTCATTGTCCCTTTGAAAGAAAGTAAAGGGTTACATGCAGACTCTCTTACACAAAGAGGGTGACATACCTGGGGAATTTCTAATGGAATTCATCCTTAACACTCTTCTGAAGAATCATTACCCTCAGGACACAATGGAAACAGAGCACTGTGAGATAGCAATGTGCCAAGATACCAAATAAAAACTAGTCTAAGTTCCTTCTCAACAGAAATCAAACAGTATTTGAAAAAAAGACTGATAAATGGCACAGTTGTGGTTATTCAAGATTTCTGCACCAAGAGATGCAGAAGGTGTGTCAGGAAGGGAATGAACTAAGGATGCTATGGAAGTACAAAAAGTCCTTTAACCTTCTGCACACACTGCAGAACTTTGTGATATTTGCATTTACTTCCTTATATGAGAAGGGAGAATCTGTTCTTACAGCTATGGAGAAAAGAAGAGAAGAGAGGGATGCTTTCAGGATATAATGTCAGTAGCTACTGACTTGAGTTTGACAGCTGAGAAGGCCTCTGGGGCTAGCATTTTTTCTGTTGGCTGCAACTCACTTCTTTCCCTTTTGTGAGGCCCCTAGTTGGAGAACCTTCTTTCTGCATTAAATATGACGTGACAGTAGGCACAACAGAATCCAACAGCTATACTACAGCATCCAGCAGGTATTCATTATTATTTATCTGTATTACCATAAATCTTGGAAGGCCTCACCCTGGACCACTTCACATTATGCTGGACCATGAATAAACACAAAACAAAATATAGATGTGCCTAAATTCTACGTAAAGAGACAACAGAGAAATTATGGCAGAGTACAAATGCAGTGACACAGTACTACTGTGATATGTGTTGGCATTAATATACCTGCAATATATCTGTTGTCTAGTGAGATTGTTTTAAGGTTCACAATACATAAAACTTTTAAGAAGAAATTTAAAGGAAGACAGTGAACACTTCTGTTTATGAAGAAGTCAACCAATACACGAGAGGCAGCCGAGGAGAAAATATCCAGTGTGGTCTGAAAATGTAATGACTGAATGATGGAAGCTGGCATCCTATGTTGATCAAAACCAGAGTCAAACTCTTGATACTGAAGGAGAGGTATCAGGTAGAAGTAGTCTTGATGGGCCTTGAAAATAAAGACACATATCTTATCTTTATTGCTTTAAACTGAAGGAGGAAAACGAAAATACCAAAGGAGTAAGTTTGGAAAACTATATTTACAGTAGCGTAGCACTCAGACTAGCTAACAAACATGGCAAGGCTGCAATTTGTCAAGGCAAAAGTAAGAGATTTTCCAAGAAAGACATGATCCATGAAAAACCTGGCTGAAAAAATAAAATTATCTGATGGAGAAGAATGACCATCCTTAAAGAATTGGAAGAAGATTCCCAAATGCAGATTTACAGATTTACTAGATTTGATGACAAAACAAATGATAGCATGACAGTGTCTTTCATAGAGGATGCAGAGAGGTTTTCTGAGGGCATCAACCTAAATATGAAAAAAACTACTAACAGAAGACCAATAGTTCTAACTGAAAAAAAAGAACTGAGAGCACTGCTGAGGAAAATTTCCATACATTACATCTTATTAGGACTGGAAAACAAGAGGTATATGAAACACAAAACATTGTTTTTCCCATAAATACTGTGAAATGAGAAAATTCTTTCCTATCGCATTTATTACTAACTTATTACAGATATCTATGCTGCCATGTTTTGACTTTCAAGGGTTGAAGAAAAACAATGTTCATGAAGTTAGAATATGAGGAGGGCCTCATTCGACACAAAGACATGCTACAATCCAGTTTGAAGACAGGACAGTGATGATACAAGCCAAACAGCATTAGAGAAAAAGATCTCACAAACTTACAAGTAAAATGCTTAATGTTCAGGCACATTCCTTTGCTCTTTCTTCTCAGTGCACAGAAGGAAACTTACTCTTTGCTGTAGTACAGCATTTCAGCTCTTGAGGTATTCTCAAGCCCACGCAATGTGTAGCTGTGCAGCAAATGCCCACTCCCTACATTCCGAAACATCATCTCCTTCTCTTGTTATCTGATTTCTTGCTTTTTTCCTGGTTTCAGTCTTTTACAGCATTACAGCATATGTTAAACCAAAGAAGCAATCAGATCAGGTGCTCAACAACAGAGGTTAACAGCACGGAGTAGTTGAGAGCTGGTACAGCTCCTCCTGTAGCAGGAGACAATTCAGAGTTCCTTTTCTTCCAAGCATTTGTAGCAGCACTACTGCAGGCAGAACAGAGCTGTGCCTCAACACTATCTCCCTCAAAGTACTGGGAAGCTGCCATTATGGGAAGGAGAAGCAGTCACACTCAGGTGATCTGCCTATCAGTGGTGATGAGTGAAAAATATCAGATACAGATGAAACATCCAGAGGACTCCTCATACCTCACTCACTGGCATGTCACTTTCCTTCCTTTTCTCCTCTGGAACTAGATCTGTTCTGAAGCACTTCTTTTGGTCTAGAGCACAGCTAAAGAGCTGTGTTTAGGTTGGTTTGGGGTTTTTTTGCAATCACCTAATCTCCCTCTGCTTTTCTTTCTTTTACTCAGTTTAATGCAAGTAAGAATATATGGCAAATAGGATCAAAAGGTAAAATCAGTAAACCAATAGCTCTAAACATTTTTTTTTAAATTATGCCAATCAAGACTTTTTTTTTTTGCAAAATGAAACATCCAATGTTCTCAAATCAGAATTTTATTGCATATCGAGAAATCTGCATTTCATTTTATATTGCAAAATCTCAAAAGAATCACTATCAAAATTTTTAAACTAGAACTCCGAAAATTCCCCTTCTGTAATGAACATAAAATTGTGGTTTGAGTGCTGTAGAAGATGATGCATTTCAAAATCATTAAGTTCTGTGTTTGAACAAGAAATTACAGCTTCTGCTTAGCACTAATTTTATTTAGCAACCCAGTGTCCTCTGTTCTTAGTTGTAACTGTCACCTTGAATCCCCAGTTTATACAGGTAATTCACAACTAGTCAATGCATCTTCTTCAAAACTTCAAAGCCCTTATTCTTCCCTCCAACAGAAAAGGAAATAAAAACCAAAACAAAAAACTTGTAGAAAAGCAGTTACCAAACGTTTTAAACTTAAATCTATCATATATTCAGTGCAATGAAAAATACCAATAGCTATGCATTTAATTCTCCTTTCAGGTGTATTTTTGCCATTCAATTTCTGGGTTTTTTTGTTTTCTTTGGGGTTTTGTTTTTGTTTTCTTTTTTTAATTGGAGTCTTTAGTCTGCTTCTGATCCAAGTCTGATTTCTTCTTTGGTCATGCTCGTTCTTCAAATTACTTTCCTTTCATTCTGCTCTTGTGCCAAGCAATAAAAGTAAGCCGGTCCTCCTTAAACCTTCGCTCATCAATTACTATCTGTGTCCTTGCTCCATGAGAAAGAATCCCTAATTGTCCTTACACACAACTCCTCTAGATGTTTACAGCCCCTTGATAATTATTCACAAATTCAGTAACATTTCCAGTTTTTCCATTTTTATGACACTAAGACAATTGAAAACATTCTTAAATTTGAATACCAGAAAGCAAATACAACATCATAAAAAAGGACATAATTTACAATACTCCTTTTGTTATACAGGGAAACCCCTACATATAGTTTTTGCTCATTTGTATATAAAAATAGGAGTCAAAGCAATGACTGTACCCATAGCTACAGGAAAAGAACTTCCTCCTTAATCCAAGCATAGATATTTATAGTTATTTTTGGGTGAATCCACTGATATATGATATGGGTAATATGTAGTTCCTGCCTAAAACTTAGCTGATCAGCATGTATGATCAAATTCACTCATAATGCCAGCTCAGTTAAATTTAACCAAGTTACACTGACAGGAGTATAAGTGTATATTTATTAAAATGTCAATGTTCAACCCAACAAGACAATTATCTCAGTAAATAAGTTTGCAATATTTACACAACTATTAGTGATATAAAAGGTTGTATAGAGCTATACATTTCAGAATGTTTATGGGTGAAAACACAGAGCAAGTCAGAGACACACTATTCTGAAAATAAAGAAAATAAACATATTAAAACTCTTTACCTAATTGCAGTATAGAAGGACTTGAGGTTTCCATGTTGAGTTACCCAAGAATAATGAAATCCTTAACGAGTATACTTTATACATTTTCTAAAATGAACTGAAGTAATTTGACATCAGTCAAACCTCTTGATTCACTTTTTATCATCATAAGATTGTCAACATCAGTAAAGACTAACTATTGAAAAAGTCAATCATTTCAATGTACTTACAGCTGAATTTTCTCATGTGACCAACTATCCACAAAGCCTCAGTGCCATTAAGAAGTTTTGAGGAATATAGTATTTGGTACTGCCAAAAAAACATAATTAAAAGAATGCATGTAAATTATAATCATTTTATAATTAGAAATGTTTTATGATTACTTCATGTCTAAAATACATACATTATCCCAAAAGGCAGGGTCCAGCACAGTCAATGATACACTGACAGAATTCACAGTTAGAAGTCACAGTGGGGTCCTGATCTTGCAACTGAACTTTCACAAAAAGAACCCCGCACTACTGCAGAATCTCCTGAATTTCAATAGGGCCCTACCCACACATAATCAATTACAGTCTGCCTATGTGGGAGTAACAACAGCGAGAACAGGACCTGTTCCTCCACACACCTGCAAAAATACCAAGATTAAAAAAAAATAAAATTAGTAATGTGCAGCAAACCCTATCGATAGCCTGTTTTATCACAGCATTTAACACATAATAAAGGAGTTCCATACATCTCTAAGTTGCATATTATTTATAGGAATTTTCAGCTCATTCTTCAAAGAATGTTGGCTTAAAATTGCTTATGGATTTTACATGTAGTGGCAGCACATTATGGGAGCTTTTACTGATACACACTTGAAATATAAATTTTTAATTATTATTTTCTAAAACTTAATCATCTTAGTTTCTTTGGTCTATTACGCAAGTCATTTTTTAGTGCTTAAGCCTTCTTAAAATCTGTCCCACAACACCCATTTTAGGGACATAGGATAGGTCTGTGAATTTATTGAGGTGTGCATAATTGTGAGAGTATCTGACCACACAGAGAAGCATCCAAGACCAAAGTCTTTGAAAATACATAATGAAAAGCAGTTTAGTGTTAGTCATTTTTAGACTAAAAAGGAGTAACTTTTTGAAACAAAAAACCTCATGAAAATCAGTAATAATTAATTGTTTGCTAGGTTTAAGCACTTAGCAAACAGTGTTTAAAACATAGGAAGCACCCAACATAATGTTAAACAAGAATATACCACCATTTTGCTGCTCATACGAAACTTAACATTCATGATTTGGCCCTACTCTTCTTATTAAAAACACATCCATATTGATGTTTAAAAGGAAAACACTTTAAGTTACAATGTTTTTATATATTATAAACCATTTAAAAGCAGATTAGCCCTAGGTTCCATTAAATAATATTTAACTGGTGACACTGCAAGACTACTGGTAATAAGGGTTATAAGAATGACCAATAGATCCTAGAAACATGCAGAAAACATTTCTTCATTCCTTTTAATACAGATAGCATTTGGGAAACAATGATGTTAAAAAAAAAAAAAATCTAGGACCAAATGAAAAGATTTGAGAATCTAACAGAAGAACCAAAATTTTCATAAAACAGAATGCAGGTTTGGTTTGGGGTTTTTTGGGGTTTTTTTGGTGATGATGAGTTGGTCTCCTCTCGGCTTTGATTTCATGAAAAAAACAACAGTAAAATTAGCAGAAAAAGGAAAAGAGTATCACAGGTTTTTGTTCCTTGCTGCTAGGTTGAAAACTGGGCAGGAGGACAAACAAAAAGTTGAAATTTCGGGATGGTTACCTTACAATAATGAGTGTTCCTTCTCATGTTATTACTGCTTTTAAATTTTACATTTCATATGCATGACTCTTAGGCTTCTGTTACTCTGAGAAATTCAATTGTTTCTAGAGAATACACTACAGCACTAAGTTCTGTTTAAAAAGTGTAATATCTTGACCCCTGTCTAACATTGCACAGAAAGTTTAAAAGTATCAGACATGTGCCAAATTAGTGCGCCTACACAGTGAGTGAAGCAGTACCTCTGGCAAGTGTAATCCCATTTCTCACTGACTGAGATGAATGGACAGACTAGACCTTTCAGGACAATTGTGACAAAATCATGCAGCTACAGATTTAGCATTTCCCAATTTGCAATGCAATGTGGTAACCTGATGCAGCTTGATCCCAATTTCTATCCCTGTATCTAGCTCCACATCTTTCTTCACAATGGAAGTTAATTGGAATACAATGCGTATTTTCTGCACTGTTTCAAGAGTGTAGGTTGTAGGATGGGTCAGGGACAGATAGCAGCAGTCTAAATTACAGTCAGTTTCTGGAGAGAGCTGAAAACAGTTTTACAATTTTGACGGCCTAAGAGTAGCTCAGAGGTAACATCCAAACAGTCAAAGAAATGAAATACTGGAATTGTCTAAACAGTTCCCTTCTCCGACATGGACAGGAAAAACATGTTTCTAGTCCAGGTATAGAAACTAGCATAGAATGGAATGATTCTCAAGTGGTTTGGGAGACTAGAAGGCCCTGGCAAACCCAAGTTTTTTTCATGACTAGCAGAACTAATGAAGTCTAGTTACCTATCAGCATGCTTGTAGGTGCCACCAACATACTTCTTCAGTAACCCTGGCCTGAACCTAGCCTGGCTGTTTTCACATTCCCTTCTTAACAGATTTCTTCAGATTACAGCTTCTGACATTTAGGAGAACAAGAGGCAGCTCACAATGTGGCTAGGTCTGAACTACACATGTGTTGACTGGCAGACCAACCAAGCATGCCGACCTGCAAGTCAACAAGTTGAACAGAACAGAAAATCTCTGAGTCCGTGCTGCAGCTTTTTCTACCCTGGGGGCACTAATTTGAGTCCCTTCTCTACTCACAGCTGCTAAGTTTCATTCAAATTGCAGAAACTTGACTTTGTGACCTCTAACTCTATATCAAATAGAACTGAAATTAAGCAGTGAGATTCAAAAATTATTAGGAGATAATGTGATCCTATATATCTTGTTTTATTCAGAAACTAGGCATGAAAACACTGTAGCATAATCACTGGGAAAATAACTAATGATTCTTATGTCACTTACTGTTTTCATTGAGGAGTTACACCACAGTCAGCTATAACAAAACACAGATTTTTATGTGGTGATAGCATAAATGAATCCAGAGAATGTAGAGACTGTTTCAATAAAACTGGCTTTGTTTCACCACAGCGAACAGGGCCCTAAATACAGGTTGCTTCATAAAAGTGAAAATTTAATAGAAATACAATTTTTATTTTTTTTTAACTTACCAGGAGTATAACTGACTGCCCTTCACAGAGATCTCTGCTTCTCTTCCAACTCCATGCTGTCTTTCCTAAGGCTTAAGAAAAGTTCAGTGATACATATTTCAATAAAGCAGTGACATAAAGTCTAATTCAGTGTACCTGGACTATTCAGTCTATTCAGTATATCTGGGCTTTTGTAGAGTTTCTGGTTGGTGTGGTTTGTGTGGGCTTGCTTTGTTTTGGTTTAGTTTTTGGTTTTTTTAAATAAATATAGTGATTTTTAAAGCATCACCTTGAAATTCTGATCTCACTGCTTGGATGCAGATACTGGCGTTCCAAATTAAGGAATAATTTTTAATAAGCAAATCCCAGTTCCCTTCTCTATACATGGCATCCACAGTGCTCTGCTTACCCTTTCTATTGATACAGCACTAAATTTTGACTTGTATGTTTCTCACCAAAAAGACATACTTGAAATCAGAAGGTTTCATTTGTAGCTGGATTCCAGGAACTGATGAAAGAAGGAAAGAAAATGAAAAAGTATAATGACCCTCCTAAAACTCCAGTAAAAAGAAGAGAGGCAAAGAATAATCAGTGTGGAAAAGTTAATAGAAAACTGGACATTAGAGGAAAGGTTAGTAGGACTGAATGGGTATAAGAACAGTCAGGGAAGTGAAAGTGATTCAACCAAAAGTGAATGGAATAAAAGAAACAAAATTATAATCTTAGCAGAGTAATGAAAATGAGCTTTTCAAAACTGTTTTGAGATTGGCCCATCTCTTCTTCTACTGCAGTAAAAGAACCACATCAATTCAAAAAATGCTTTAGGAAAACCTTAAAGCCACTTACCTTGAACCATTTAACTTTAAGCATTTGGAGTATCTAAACTCTGCTCAGCTAAACAACTAAAGTGCTTAAATTTGAAAACAAATGTAATGATATTGTAATCATTGACTGTGTCAGTCCTATTGAGCATACATTCAAACCTGAGCCCCAACTCCTTACCCAAATAACATGCAGACTCACCCTTTGGCACTAGTCTGGATTCAGCCTACTGGTTACCAGACAGGCAAAGTCAAGTACAAGATGTAAAAGACTACTGTAGATTCAGATTTATCTCTCAAAAGCCATACTCATGCAAGTATTTAAACTTAATATAAGATTAATTGTTTGATGCAGCAGAATGTAAACAGTTAAGTGCTTAAAGTTAATTCAAGAATCAGCCCCCTAAAAGAAAACTACAGAAAATGTGGCTGAGAAAGAACAAAGAAATGGATTGTTGAATCTGTATTAAAAATAAATGACCTCTGGGTTACATCTCAATGCACTGTGCCTGAAAACTGCTGCTACTTTCTGGCTTAAGTATTAAACCTTGTTTTTAAAACATGTAATGGTAAAGAACCCCATCAAAGGTTAAATTAGTTCAGTAGTTGATAACAGTACTGAAGTAATTCTTAACACAGAGTGTAGTTCAGATATTGGTATAAAGGGTTCACCACTTCTCCTGACTATTTAAACACACTGGCATTTCCAAGCTCAGTTTGGTAAACAGCTGGAACAGGGTTAATAACCCATATTCTAACAGGAAAAACTGGAAATCATAAGCCACTAACAGGGTTCTGTCCCTTTTACTTCTTACTCTACAATAGTTACTAAAGGGAAACAGATATTGAGCCATTTGTTGAAATACCATAAAAGGCCTGGGGCTTCTCTCAGCATCTTCTGTGAAGTTCTGATCACTGTAATCTGTCTCCTGAACTGCATTGTGTGCACTCGTATTTTAAACTGTCACCTATCTAAATTATCACAAAGCCCAAATCAACGCTCAACAACTATATTCTCACATGCAAGCCCCTGCTACTACTATTCCATCCTTTATCTGTAGCTGGAAAAAAAAAGGAAACTCCCTGTTTTTATTATATATGTTTAATAAATCCATACATATAAAAATCATTACTTAATGATTATTAAGAAGAAGATTAAAGATGTGATAAGGCAGTAAATTAGAGAGAGAATGAGTTCCTCTGTGGATTCAGTTACCTTTTCTTAAAATGGCTAAATAAAATAATGTTTTGTTCTCAGAAGAATTATGAGCACTACCAAAATTTTATAGATGTTGTGAAGCTCAGAGTTCAAAATTTCCCAGAAACTGGGAAACTAGAGAAGCAAATGAACAACTTTCATCAAGTTGTCTTATAAGAAATAAATTGAACAGCAAAAGAGCAACCAAATTAGTACTAGCATTTTCAGATCCTTCACTCCTCCCTTCATTTCAGTAGCATTTCATTTATATGCAGGCATACATATCTGCAGAGTTTAAGCTTCAGTCTTTCAAACAGCTTCATATATCTAAACTTCACTCTTCTAAGTAGTGCTGCTGATAAAACTACTCATGTGAACAGAGTCAAGCACCTGCACAGGACTAAGGTTAAAGAAAGTAATAAAGAAATGAGCTAATGAATGCAGGGTATCACTAACAATTATTTCTGAAAAGGCAAGGACAGCAAGGAAGAAAGCAAAGCTTGAAAAATTAACAGCTGAAATATGAGGGGTGGAGGAGAAATTAGGTTATGGTCCCAGAAATTACCCTACAAAAATTTAACTTCAATACCTTTAAAATAACAGAATCAATGCTAAGCAGAAAAAAATAATAGAGCATCCCTAACTTAACAGTCATGACAACCACGCTATTTTCTCACCATTTGATGAGTCCTCTTCAGTTCAAGGCTGAAGTTCATGGGTACTGTGGAGAAGATCACTTGGCAACTGCTCTGCTGTAATTAATCCATGAATAAAGAATAGGCTTCAGTTTTCACAGATACACTTTTCATAACCATTAAATCCAGAAAAATACTAAAACATTTCGAAGTTACAGTTAGGCCATTTTAGCAAAATTTTGCCACAGAACCTAAGTTTAATACCAAATCCTTCCTTAAATCCTCAAGGACATCTCTGTTATTATGAGTCAGGCCTACAGGTAAGTTGGAGTCAATATTAAAAGATGTGAACAAAATATAGTAAATTCAACCTTTTGACAACTACATCATAAGTTTTTATGCAACATTCAGCACTTTAGTGGCTGAAAAAAAAAAGCTAAATGGAAAGTGAGCTATTGAAAAATCAGGAGGTAAAAAAACAAAAAAAACCCCAATTTTATTTTCGATCTGCAAGTTCACAGGAAGTCTAATAAGCTATATGCAGGTTCTAAGCCAGCACATACTTCTTGCAGTCCTTACAGTCTATAGAAGCATCCCTAGATCAGGTCTATTCTGGCAAATTCAAAACTCTGTTTTCATTGTACAATGGTCAATTACGTCCACTTCAGTCCTTTCTAGATTACAAAGTCTACCACTGATAGCAGACTGAAATTGCAGTCCCAAATCCTTTATTTGTCAGGGCAAATCAGAAACTGAAGGACTACAGAAGGAAGTAGAACACTCACAGATGAAAGAGGATGTCCAACTACAGTTAATAGGTTATTAAACTGAAACTTTAAACTTCAAGTGATACAAAATTTACAGAGGAGGCCTGAAGGGAGGCTTAGGTGAACCTATAACAGGTATCTAGAAGGCTGGATGAAAATCAGGGGCAAGGAAGGGCTCAACTTAGAAAAATAAATAGAAAAAAATTCAAACTCCCACTGGCTGTATGCCCACATACAATACAAACACAGAAATATACACCAAAATAATATGTAGGTGTGCAATTATTATAATTATGTGGGTGCATCTTAGTGCCCCCAAACTTATCTAACTTACCTAGGAACTGATCCAGATGAAATGGAATAATGTGCAAGAACCCAAGCAAGCCAAAGAATCTAGCTAAAAAGTTACATGGTAATGACACAATGCCAGTTTTCATTACAACAAATTCCTCTAATCCTCAGAGTTGTAAAATAAATCTTAGAAACACATAGCAAGGTAATTTGTAAAGCAATGCATGCCTGAGTCAGAAGACAGCCTGCAGCTTTCTAACCACTCCTAGCTGTGAGCTTCTGTTCTTTCAGCAGATAAGTACCTTGCTTTGGTTTTGCCGCCTCTCAGCTGGACTAGATAATTCAGTATATACAAGCACAAAGTCTGCTGCATATAGGAAACTCCAAGTACAGGAAGCTGTGGGGATGTCAACTCAGCAACATAGGTTATATTATAAGCTGCTCTCTCTAATGATTTTCTCTAGACTTTTTATTTACAAATTCAGGGTCTCAAGATCCTCCAGGGCCTAAATCCAGGATTCCTAAAGAAGGGCCTAGCCTACTGGGTCTCTAGACTGGATCCAGGTGTCAACAGTTTCCCTCATCCAACACAAGAGAACCTATGAAACGAATGGGAAAAAAAGCTCTCATTTCCAGAGACAAAACTTTCAAAGGGCTGGTGCAAGATTAAAGAATGAAAGTGCCTAGAAACTAAGGGCCATCAGAAACCTAACTGCACCTTGCCTGAAAAACAAAACATGTTATTTCAGCCTTGCCTCACTAACATAAAGACATTATGTTATGTATGTGGGAGAAAAGACAGATAAAATAAACTGAAAACATTCAACTGCACATGCTCCTTCCCCTGGCAACAAGAGAATAGCTAATATGACCAGCTAACGCTGGTCATGTCACTTATTATAGTATGAGGAGATTCTCTGACAATTTAATGGCACTCTCTGAGGAGAAGAACTGAAACATAGGACAGACACTACTAGGAGGTGTTCAGATAGGCCTGTAATGAAAACTGCATTAGGAAAGGAGTCCATTATAGAAACTGCAGCTTAACCTCATATTTGCTACCACAGCAGAGAAGACTCTAATAAGCCCAAGTGGTTTGGAATGGAAATTTGATCTAAAGAATTGACATCACTTTTGATGAGGCTCAAAATCCCTTTCTCTCCCTTCTGTCTTCAGCTGTGCTCCTGCTGTGACTTTTTGGCTTCAGTAGTCACTGAGGAAACAAACTGATCATCTTCTCCCAGATGCTACAGCCAGGAAATGAAAAACCCACCTCGTATTACATGGATTTTTACACTATAGCAATTGCTTTTCTCACTTGTTCTGATTTTCAGTTAAATATTTACCCATTCTGATCCTTAAATTATTGTAATTGTGCATTATTTAAGTTAAGAGATATGCACGGAAGACATAAACCAAGACTATTAAATTAGGTTTATGTTTTGGGCAGTCCTAAGTAATTCTGAGAACAATGATTATGTAATATCACTATTAGCTACTTAAATCCAAAATACAAAAGCATAATAATGAAGAGAACTACTCAGTGTGCTTACACATAATAATATACATTTCAGTCTGTATAGGATTGGGGCCTATGTGCACTAAGTATGGAATCTCAGAGCAAGAACTAGATATTAGAGGATGCAAAAATTTCAATTTCATTAAAAATCTTAACGAAATGACATCTGAAAGGACAATAGTGTGAGTCATATTAGAGAATACCATGTATCACAGAAACAGTGTATCATAGAATATTGACATACTATCTTCTACACCTTATTTCTATACTACGGTTGGAAAAATGGGTGAAAAATAATAGCTAGAATTATTTTAGGGCAAAACTATACCTCATCTAAGTAAAGAGAAGTGGTATCACCAGCATAATGATTTTTTTTTTTTTTTTACTGTTCTCACTGCTATTTCTAGTGCAAAGTTTTCTTTCACAAGAATATAACCTTCAGGAAAAAAAATTAAAAAAAATATTTCTTTTCAGCTGAAAGGCAAACTTTGAAAATTTTGCTCAGGGTAATTTTATTAAAAGAAGAGCAAAAATGTAAATACACTGCAAATCATTTGTATTTCCTCCTTATTAATTGAATGGCTTCACGAACTGAAGTTTTTTCATCTGGCTCATTTTCACTGAGAACCTGGTTTAAAATATTAGGAATCTGTTTCTTTAGCAACACCAAACTTCAAATCCGAGAAAAATATAATAACAAATGCCTAATATTAGTTATGTGATTACTTACATGTTGCCTTGCACTACTTTTGTCACTAAGGAGCTCCAAAATTATATACTTTCTGAGTAGCAGTAGTTTTCGTAGCCATGATGGTCTAAGTTCTTTGAGCCCAAAGGCTTGGCGTTTTCTACTGTGGCAGTTAGTTAAAAAAAAAAAAAAAAAAAAAAAAAAAGAGACATTACCTCTCCCTTTCAAAAACTTGTTCTGCTTATACTTTTGTCAGTGCAGCTCTAGCAGGGAGCAGTGGAATCATGAAAAGCATTAGGCCCTGAGCCTGCTAACGCTCGTCTGCCAGCAGTCAACCGAGTTCAAGATGACTCGCTCACAGACGTGAAGGGAAGATTTTGAAAGTCAGTGGGAGCAGAGCTCCCAGACGCTCATTATGTACTTTTGAAAAATCTTCCCCGAAGTCATGGGAACAACAGTTTGCAGGTCTCAGGCCTCTGCTTTCTTTTCCCTTTTTTAAAAAGCGCATGAGACTAAAAAAAAGCAAAACCACAAAACAGAACAAAACACTGAAGTCAGAAAGCCCGAGGAGCGGCTGGCAGGGATGCGCTGGATCTCCCTGCCGAGGCAGGGTCCGCGGAGCTCCCAGGGAAAGACTCTCAGCAGGCACAGGTCAAGTGCAGACAGCGAGTGGCTCGCGCGGCACCGCAGCCTGCCTTGCCCCCGCTGCTTTCGGCAGCTCCCTAACCTCCATCTCGGCTTCCCTATCCCTGAGCGGGGCTGGGACCACTAACCCGGCCACCAGGTACCTTACGCTCAGTCACAGCTCGGGCCGGAGGGGAGCGTGGGGGAGGATGCGGCGTGAAAATGAAAGTTCGCGTTTTCCCCGAGCGCTCCGTGCGCAGCCGAGGCGGGAGCGCTTGCCCGAGTTGAACCTCGCTCCGTCAAGTTCCTCCGAGAGAGCTTTCTTTTTTTTTTTTCTTGGTGTGGGTTTTTTTTTTTCTTTCCTTTTTGTGTTTTTTGGTTCTTGGTTGTTTTGTTTTGTTTTGCTTTGCTTAATTTCAAATGACCAGTGTAGGGCACTCGGGGCCCGCTGTGCCCTGCGATGCGCCCACACAGCCCCGCTCCGCCGTTCGGGGGCTGTTGGCCAGCCCTGGCTGGGGGCGGCCGGGGGGACTGCCCCGGGGCGCTGCCGCCGCGCAGCCGGTGCGGCGGCGGGAGGGGGATGGGGAGCGGCGGCTGCCAGGCGGGATCGGGATCGGGCCCGCGCGCTGCGGGCAAGCGCCGAGCGCTTCCAACCCTCCTCCGGCTGCAGCGGGGTGCGCGGCGATGGGGGAACACGGGGGGGACAAGGGGGGGGTCACGCTGCAACCTGAGCGCCGCGGGAGCCACGGGGGTCCTTGGAGGCGCAGGGGGGTAAGGGGGACAACGTGGGAGAGGCGCTGTTCATATTTTCCTCAGGTCCTCTTGGCGCATCCCCCTCCCCCGCCGGGCTTCCTTTCCCTACCTTCCCAAAACCCTTTCCCTACCTTCCCCAAACCCGCTGTCGTCTCCCCCACCCCGCTATCCACCACCCCCGTATCCCCACCGGCGCCTTTACCTTGACAAGTTCGCGGGGCCGGCGGAGGTCTCGCTCCCCCTCTCTCTCTCTCTCTCTCTCTCTCTCTCTCTCTCTCTCTCGCTCTCCCACACACATCTCTAACGCGCCACCTCTCCCCACGCGGGCCCAGGCTACGGGTGACATTTCTCTCTCCCTCTTTCTCCCTCCCTCCTTCCCTCTCCCCAACCCCCTTTCCCCATTAGCGGCGGTTGGGTTGGGAGCGCGCGCCGCGCGGGAGGGCGTGAGATGCGCGGCGGGCGGGCGGGCGGGCGGCGGGCGCGGGGGCGGGGAGGGGCGGCATTGACAGCGAGCGCCGTGTCCGTGCGGCGCTGCCGCCTCAGCCCCCGCGCGCGCCCCCCGTTCCCGGCATGCCCCGGGGCGGCGGGGCTGGCGCTAACGAATTTGAATGAAGAGCCCTCCGCTCTTTCGGCGCCATTTTCGAGTGATGCCCGATCGCATCGCTGCGGCCGCCGCCGCGGGGGAGGCGCGGGGCGCGGGGGCCGCCCGCCCGCCCCGACAAACTCGCCCCCCTCTACCCTGCGTTACCCCCCGCTTACACCCTCGCCGCCGCGCTTCGGAGCGGGTGCCGCCGCCGGCGGCACAGGCGGTAAGAGCCGGAGGAGCGGGCGCGGCTGGGGCAGAGGGAGCTGGGCGGGCGGGCGGGAGGAAGCGCGTCTTCGGAAAACGGGGGCAACCTGCGCCCCGCCGCCGGGAAAAGTCACCTCAGGAGCCCGGTGGGCAGCAGGCGGGAGGCTTCCGGAGTGGCGGCAGGTCCTGGGCGGATCTGTCACTCGCTTCCCTCAGCCCCAGCAGCGGGCGGGAGCGGCCGTCTCCTCGGGCAGGTAACCCCGCTCACCCCCGCGGGGCGGCACCGCGCCCGGGCGGGGATCCCGGCAGCTCCGCTCGCACCCGGCCCGGCCCGGAGACAGAGGCGCGGAGGCGGGCGGGGGGCCCGGGAGCCGCGGGACAGTCCGAGCTCCGGAGGGTGCCCCTGCCCCGCGCTCCCGGGACATGACAGGACAGGCTTCCCCTCATCTCCCCCCACCCCCGCTCCCCAGCACCCCTCCCCAGTGGATCCTTCCCTCCCGCCTTCTCCCCCCGCTTCTCCGCCGTGGAAATTTCGGGGCAGCGCTCGGGACACGGAGGCTTCTGCTTCCCTGCTCTGCAGCAGCAGCAGCCAGGATGACTTCCCCACTTACATGCACATCTCCTTTCTCGCCCGCCGCCCCCCCGCCTCCTTCTTCCTCTCTCCCCGTGTTTTCGTAAGCTGGATTAATGCCCCTTCGCTCTTTCTCTTCCCCGTCCCTTCTCTCCCCGCCACCCCCTCCCCCCCCCCAAAAAAAAATAAGAGGACAACCTTCGGGGTTTTTTTTCTCCGTTTGTTTCCTCTCCATGTTAGCAGATTAACTTCTCCGTTTAAGCGCTTTCTCCACCTCCCACTCAAGCGCTTAATTTCCCATGTCGCGATACGGAGCCGCCTTTTGCAGGAACCTGGGTGACGGTCGTGCTGCCACATGCTGTCACATTTATCGTCTCTGTCCCTTTGGGTATTAACGAAGGACCAAAGTGCTATTGCACAGGGCTATTTTCCCCCCTCTTAGCGTTAAAACGCGAGTTTCCTTCCTGCACTAGAGGGGGGAAACATAATCCGAGACCATGTGAATCGTGCCAGCTATTTCTAGGTGTTTTTCCTGTCCTCCCACACACCCCAAAAACGAGTAAATACCCTCCCCATAGATAGCCCAGCCTAATACTGTGATCAGAGCTGGCCATTCACCTCCTCTTCTCCGCCTACAAAATTCTCTGTCTCTGTCACCCGGGTCGCTATTTGTCATTGGCTTAGCTATTTTTTGGTGGCTGTTTCTATGTCATTTCTCGGTGGCCAGCAGCTCTCGATCTCTCGTAGCTGTATGAACGCGATCGTGCTTATTGTGATAGGCGCCGAGATCTCTCGCAGCCTGTGCGCTGGGCGATTCCCCCGCCGCGCACATACACACATAATATGTGACACGGTGCCTTTTCCTCCACGACGTCGTTTAACCCCCTCGGGGCCGGGTTTGGCGTGGGTGCTCGCGTTTCGGAGTTGCGCACACAGGCTCACAAGGCATCTTTTTGTGGCGGGAGCGCCGGCGGGGACAGCACCGTGCGGTGGGGCAGGGAGGAAGCTCGGACGCTGCCAGGCCAGCGGGCTCCTTCACAGCCATAATTTCTAAGCGTTACTTTTTATTCCTCTTCCTACTTCCCTCTTCACTTTCGGCCGCCTGACCTTTTCTTTTTCTTTTCTTTTTTTAATTATTATTTTAATTTTTTTTTAATTATTATTTTGACCGGGGGAAGGAAGGCGTATGGATATTTTTCCCGATACCGTGTGAGCGGCAGGCGCCCGGGGCTGCCGTCGAGCTGGCGGGCGCTCAGGATGCGCAGCTAACGCGGCATCGGGCCCCCCGTTAAGGCGCCCGTTCAGCGGAGGCTGGACCGGCTGCTGCCCCCCCGGTTGCCTGCGGGGACGCGGGGCTGGGAGGTTGGACCGGGTCACAGCCTTTCCCCGCTCCTCTTTCCCCCCCTCCCACTGCCCCCTCCGTCCCCCGTTTACCCCCCCGCGCATCCCTCCGCGGCGTTCAAAGCCAGAAGCGGCCGCCTTGCGCTTTGCACCCTGGCCACCGAAAATAACGAGTTAACCGAGGGACGTAGGAGGGACGTAGAGAAGAGTTGGGGTGCAGAAGTGCTGTACAAAAGATTTCTGTGTACATGGCTGAGAGCGTGTAGTCTTAAAGTGAAATGCAAAAACTTAGCGTTTCCAGCATGGCAACTAGATTGTGATTCAAGGTATTTTCTGTGTGATGCAGAAATGCAATAGTTCAAGGAGGTTTTTCTGCCTCGAATCCTTAGTTTCCCTGGATTCTTTTAACCCAGTACACAAATTATACTTTTTCAGTCATTTTTTTTCCTGGGAATAGCTTCTTATTTTGTCTCCACAATTCATACCTTTATGCCTTGATAGAAAATTCAGCTTAATCCTTGAAATTGCGATACTAGTAAGATCTTATTGAGATTTAGCACTGATTTCTTTAGATTTGCATGATTACTTTCAGAGTGTTTTCATAAACGTTTTTAGCAGTCAGTATGGGAATGTGCACAGGGCTGTTTCATTGTAGCTCTGTATGCTTTGAAATACCAGGATTTGAAGAGATTTACACTATTCAGCTGTGGAAGAGCACTCACAAACACTGACTTTCACTTTCAATGAAATAACTGTCCTGACTCATAGCTGATTTGGGAAAAAACCTCTATAATTCAGTATTATACAGGTGCATATGCATTTTTTCCCACTATTCGATAGTCATGTTCAATAGAATGCAATTTATATCTATTTTTCATCTTATTTAAAATCTCTGCTTAGCACATATTTGACTACATGAAACAACTGTTATTTTAAGCATTTTTATTTCTCAGCTGCACCATTCCCATATTTTACAATTACATAAAGGTGGGTGTGGCTAAAATGAAAGCAGTGAGCAATCTAATATCAATATATAGTGTATGTTAAGTAGGTTTTCCTTTTTATATTTGATGTACTCCTTATTTTGAAATATTTTGGGGTAAAAAAATCATGTAGCTTAAATAGACCCTTGTAGAGCTGCCTGCATTTTTTACCTTAGTTAAAATGTCAAACATTAACTGGGATTACTTGGCCCTGGAAAACTTACATTTAGAGGAAATATCAATTGAACTTAAAGATCTAAACCTATATAGTTATACTGATCGGTGAAAGTTGAAGTTTTATGCTTAATAAAACCTTGCTTAGATACACCACATAGCATAGTATATGTATTAATTTTTTTTCTTTGTTTCTTTTCAACTATCTTGATTCTTAGGAAAAACATCCAAATAAGCTTCAGTTGGTTGGGGTTTGGTGTTTTTTTTTTTTTTTCCCTCCCTCTAAGTTGTACTGAGAGTTTCCAAGAAAGTTTCTTTCATTTTATAGATATAAATCTACTGAAACTTGGAATAACTCTTGAGATTTTTTTTTTTTAATTTTCAGAAATAACAGTAATTTGAAAGTGTTACTGTGTACCTATGTGACTTTTTAATGTGTTAGGTTAGTATTTGATAGGAAGCTTAATGTAGTAACATTTTAAAGGGAGACTATATATACGATACCAAGGTATCATGGGGTTCTTTTTCTGTTTGGCTCGTTGTTTTTTTTTTTTTTTTATCCTTAGCTTCTGGAATTCTGAACATCTTACTATTCCATCTTAAATGTAATGTCATAGAAGGAAAAAAAAATTTGGAGTCTTTAATTCCTTAATTATTTTTATGACTAATAAGTCAAATTCTTAGTGAAGTACAACTGGAACTGCATACAGACTACCTCGCTCTGTACACCTTGCCTGTGAACACTGTATGAAGGTGCACATCTCATCCATCTTGAATGTCAAAAAACATCCTAACAGGTGTATCTACACTTTTTTGTCACACTTTTGCACATGTACAAGCACATGACCTTTCTTTACAGAAAAAGTAGCCACATAACAGTTAGTATTTCTTTTATAGGACCTTTATAGGTTTTGTTATTTTCACTGGGAAGCAATTAACTACTGAATATGTAAGGGAGAACCAAGAAGCTTATCATTGTGTTCTACGAATGTGCTGCAGGTATTCTGTTTTGTAGATGCAGTCATCCACCCACACCCAAAGGCCTGTTGCAAGTCGTTCCAGTAATTTACATTAATTACAAACTGTCAAAGGTAGAGCGCGTCTTGGACTAGTTTTGATTGTGTATGAAAGAAATAGGGAATTAAATTGCAGGCTTTTGTGTACAAACAGGAAAATGTTTTTATCAGAAGGTTTTTAAAACTAACTTTATGTACATCAATAAGTGTTCTCCACAGATTTTTTTTTTTTTTTTTTTTATACCTACATATTATTACAAGTTCTAAACACTTAGTATCTAACACTGGAACCTGCTCTCAAAAAATTATGATATTTTCTATTATCAGGAAAGTTTGTTGGTTTTTTTTTTTTTTTAAACAAGCTACCCAAATTATTGTTGTACATAGTCCCCTGTCACAGCCATGTATTTTTTAATAGAACTAGTAAAGTATTTTAAAGATAGAAAAAAATTGCTATACCCCTCAAACAGAAAGGGGACATGAGATAGAATGGAGAGGTGTAGCCATAGATTTCCAGTAACCCCTTTTTAGGTAGTGAAAATGTTGCTTTGCAATTTTTTTTGTGTGTGTGTGTGCATTATTGACAGGAGTTATGTAGAATTTTCAGGTTACTGATGTATGAATATATAACAAGCTGCTTAAGTTGGGTTTCAAAAGAAATCTTTATTGAAAAATATTTTCATTGTGGATACTGGACAATTTCAGAAATTGTTAGAGTAAAGTAGGTATAAAAATTTCTACCCATATGATATAAGGCAATGTCTGTAGTGATTTTTTTTTTTTAACCCTTTATTGTAAGTTTTTAAAACACTCCTTCTAATAAAGAATCTTTGGGATACATCTATTCATTGGACAGTTGATAGTAGCACAACTGAGGAAGAGTTTTGATCTTAGCTTTGTATGCTGTATGAGAAATCCAGCAGGTTTGCAGGAATATTAGAGGAGGGTAGCAGACTTGAGCTCTAGTGCAGCTAACACTTAAAGTTGGGCAATTTTTTACTCTAATATTTGCATCTAATAATATTTTTAGCGTATCATTAAAACAAAAAAAAAAGTTCTCCTTACAGAGAATACTAATCTTTTTAAATTTATGTAACTCTAAAAACTTTTCCATATCTCGGTAATGAACAGTTACTAGTGTATAAGGATGACCTCGCATACACACACACTACCACATGCACACAATAGTAGAAAATGTAATTTATGAACATTTAGCTTTTATTTTGTTAAAGGTTTCCCAAGATGTGTTCTAAAACCGAAGGTGATGTTGTTATATTGCACAAAACTGAAAGATAGGAGTGACTTTCAGTGATCGTTATTAATGTCTAAAGGAAACCACTCTTAGAAATAGGACCCCCCCCGCCCCGTGACTATTTAGTTTGTTTTCAGACACTGCAATGAGTGTATCCACAGTAAATAGATTATTAATAAACTTCTTAACATTGAATCTGGTTACAACTAATTATTTTATTTAGCATGAACTGAAATTCACTTGAAGATTTGGTTTCAGAAGAAGATAATTACACATCGAATGGCTTAGGCTTGTATTTTCGTTTTAAATACCTTTTGTAAGTCCGGTTTCAATATTATCTTCAAGTATGTTAAATCTCAGTGTAAGCGCAGGGGGGACCACAACTTTTGTGGTTTTGGTTTAAGAACAGAAACTTTTTTTTTAAAGGTAAAATAGATAATATGTGGAATACATGAAAATACAGACAAACACTTTTGTCTTGTTAAAGCAGGGTGCTTATTATAGTTCCATAGCTATAAGGGGGGGGTTAGTATTTTCTAGAATACTCTTAAAGAATAAAGAACAGATTTATGGAAATATTTGTAAGCAGGTGACTTGACCCAGGCATCAGCTACTCATTTATTAGGCCTATGATGCATCTTGTCATAGTACCTACAGTAAAAAAGTCCAAATAAAGTCAAAATATATTTAAGATTTTGTCTGTCTGAATGGGATGTTTCCTCCAGTAGCTATTTGACTATAGTTGCTGCCTCTGTGAAGTTATACTTTGTTCTTACCTGATCATGGTTACTTTTTTTTTTTTATTATTTTTTTTATTTAGTGTCTCAGAGTGTATTATATGACAGTAATTCTTCCAGTATATGTTTTAAAGTAGCTAATATTTGTAGGCTACATTGTCCTAAAGGCAATAATGCTACTAGCTTGAAGAGCAAAAAAAATTAGAACTCCTTAAAGAGAAACATAAGAATTTAAATACTTAACAGTCAATAGCATATTTTAGGAAATATGACAGCAATAATCACACATCCATTAAGTAGCTTACTTACTTAAAAACTTCTTTGCTTGTTTGAGGGTGGAGGGAGAGATTGGTAGTGGGTAGGAAGGGAGAACAACACCCCTTACTCCCTTTTTTTTTTTTTTCCCTTCTTCATCTTACTTTCATCTTAAAATGCTGCAGGAAGAATGAAAGCAGAAACATGCTAATCTGATTTGTTTCAGGAGGCTTCTGATAATAAAGAGGCATATCACAGGTGTTCCTAATCAAGTCAGTTTGGTTTAAAAAAAAAAAAGTATTTTTAAAATTAGGATTTCCTGTAACATAGACAATGCGAGGGTCAAGCTGATGACCTACGTCTATGTTTGGGGATCAACCATGAAACTCTGGGTGTTGGAAATATGTTATAATACATGACATTTTTATTGCAGGTTTTGACCTTTCAATAGAGAGCTGATTTTGGAGAACGGCTTACTCCTGTGACTGAAAAACTCTCTGGAAGGTTGATGGAGCATGAGCTTGGTATATATTATATTAACATTTCTCTTATTTCATATGTTCTATATTTTAAAAAATGTATATACTAATATAACTTATTTAGATTATTCAAAATAGGCCAGTTCTGCTGGGTTTGTTCAAGAATTTATTATTTGTTAAAATAATTCTTCTTTACACTCCTCCTGTAAAATTATAAAAGACTAAGTAAAAGTTTTTACACAAGCTGTACTCAAAAGGAAATGAAGTGACCAAAAGTATAAAAAGCTGAGTTTGCAACAGCCTTGATCCATTTGAGTTATATAAATTCTCCATACAGTATTGTTCTCATATTCATGTCTTGGGAATTATTCCAACTAAAATGTTGCTAATCCAAAAACAAAGTATGGATGACATTAAAAAAAATTATTTTTCAATAACTTTGGTTTTTTGTTGGGAGGATGTGTTAAAGAATAGAATAGAGAGGTAGTTGAGTGCATTTCCATGTAGTGTGTAAAGTTTGTTTTTTAAAGTGTTAATAAGCTAGCTACTTGACAAGCAAAGAAGCAGAAAAGAGAAAAAAAGTGGTCTTCAGAGCTCTCCACCTGTACCAGAATAGTTAGAAATTTTATTTCTTTAATCTATTTGTCGGTAAACAGATATTATGTAGTAAAACAGTGAACATATCAAAGTAATTAATACGGACTATGCTACACTCATATTACAAGTCCTGCTTTGCACTAAAAGTACTAATTTGGCTGAAACTGAGAAATCCATTCAGAGTAATCATAACCTATCTGCTCATATACAAATAGTCTTAACTAACCATTTACACAGACAACTGAAATTAGAATAGTAACTGGTCTTGGATTGAGTAAATTTGTTTAAATACAAAAAGGAGTAGTAAAAACTGTAAGACTCTATCTTCAGCAGAATATATTCTAGTACAACAAAGTCTATGAACATGTTGTGACTTTTGCAATTCCAACTTTCAGCTCGAATTCAGTTTTTACCCTTAATCAATTCTGTTTGTCTTCAAGAGCACATTTTTTGTAGGAATTAATTGTACCATAAAATAGAAGCTTTTTTTAAAAAAAGCAAAATTTCAGATTATCCCAGTAACTGCTAATTTCTATCAAGCAAATCCAGTGAAGTGTAAATTACATTTTTCCTCACTGTTGTAACTAAGGGCTAGTAGAACTGAAGAATTGCTGGCATTTACCAGTAATACACCTCCTGTTATAGAAGTATTGGAGGCAGACATATTCTGAATATATTTTTAATAAAATACCATGATTTTAGAGTAGTTAAGACCACCTACAGAAAATTATCAGTTGAGTAATAAAATTTTGAATACAGAAAGTATAGGAAGTGAAAAAAGATTGTCTATAAGCTTTGAAGTTTGTGATTAGTGATTAGGTAATTCTTTATTTTCTAATCCTTTCTTTATGTGATTAAACACAGTGAAAGTACTTTTATTAGTGCTATAACTGTGTTTGGGTAACATGCCTAATGTGCTCCCAAATAAAATAAATATTTCAGTCTGTCCAGAAACTGCTCTGAATGTACTGCATTTCTGTTGGGTTTTTTCTTTTTTTTTTTCCTCTATTTTTCTCGTGGTTCTCTTAGGAAAATAAGGATTTCACTTAACAGTTTGAATTTGTTCTTTTTTTTTTTTTTTTTTTTTGTACAAAAGCAGTTACATTCTTGTTAATGAAAATCAGGATTATATTGCAAGGCAAAGGTATCTAAGGCTCCCTTGTGAGAAATTTAAAAGGTGAAAGTTTGATGGAGTGTTCCTTGGTCTGACACAAGTTCAGAGTATTTCTCATAGATTCTTATTTAGCAAAAAAGGTGGTTTCTGGTTCACAACTGTAAATCAAAGGGATTTTAAATTTAGGGCCTAATCCTTCAAACTTTAAAATACACAACTAGTCCTAATGACTCACTACTATGAATAAGGATTTGCAGAATCATATTCTCATTAGATGCACACTTTATTTCCTTTAATAAATCTAATATATATTAAAGTATTTTGAACTTTGGACAAGTCTAAATGATTTTTATAAGGTGCAAAGTGTTTTTCAGTAATATAGTAATTACTCATTTATGAGGTCAAATATCTTGTAAGACTGCTGCAGTTGTCAGTTATCATTAGAACACACTTTTTAAATGTTGATTTTCTCTAGAACACTTTTGTGCTGAAATTTAGCCCATAATAAATTTTTTTTTTTCTAGAGCTGTTTTGTACTTGGTAGTCAGCATGACTGTTCTTTGACCCAAAGAGTAGGTGAAACTTTTAAGAAAGATGATGGGGTGTGTTTTCTTTTGTTTTTCAACTCTTACCCTCTGCTATTACAGTTCTTATTTAGCAAAACTGCCATTGATTTGGTTGGAAGTTCAGCCTGAAATAAGGGCTGCACTGCTTGCCCCTTAAAAATTGCTGGTGTGGCTATTACAAATTGTGTGCTTGACTTTGTAAATTGTTTTGCAATTTACAACTTCATTACAATTAGAAACTGTAATGAAGTTGAAAAGATAGAAATGTACAGACTTCTCTGTTGAAGTGCTTCAGACGTGGAACTTCGTGTGGCCACTTTTACTGTTCCTGGTGTAGGTAAAACATTGAGGCTCTACAAACCTTGTTGACTGAATCATAATTTGAAAGCTGACAATGCATGCTTATTGCTCATCCAAAAGAAACTACAGATTACTTTGACAACTCATTTCTGCTTTGCTGAAGTACTTCTCTTGCTTTTCAAAGGCAACTTAAATAATTTTCCTGGAGGAGATATGTAGCTATAAATGCAATCCATACCTAGTTATTACAACAGATGTAAAATCAACCATTGTTTAAAACCCTGTGATATCTTAGGCATGACTGTTTTAAGTTTTGAAATCCTAAGCAACTGAATTTTCTGGATTTTGTTAGTTTAAACTAAATCCAGCCCTAACATTATTTTAAAATGAAGTCTATATACTATTAGATTTAAATAGATGTTAACTTTTATTATTACATCAGGCATTTAATGAAACATGTATATAAGAAGAATTTAAGACTGGCACACATGCACATCATTTTTCATTGTCTCTTGATAACATGGACTTGCAAGGCAAGGAAAAGAAAAGCAAATTATATGCAAATTCTTTAGGGAAAATAGTTAAAATATGCTAACTGGAATATTTAAATGCTTTTTTTTCCTCAAATGCAAACATATAATTAAGCAAGGTGTTTCCCCTCCCCCTTTTTTTATTTATTTATTTTTTTAAATTTCAACAGAAACCTAAGTAGAAATTTATGTAGACCTGTACATTTAAGCTTTGGGTGGGGGAATGAGAAATGTAATCAGAGTTCTTGTGAATGTTCAACTGCTGTATTGATGGCTTGTGTATCTACCTTGGTTTAGACTGCTATTTGCATACTAACATGAAAAAGGGCATGTATGAAGACGCTACTGCTCAATGAGTAGTGTGTTTGAATAAAACAGTGTTTCTAACTTTGTTAATTTTGAATTTATTTCAAACAGAGGGATATTCATGGTAAATTTTTTTCTGAGTTTGGGGCATTTTTTTTTCTTTCTGAAAACAATTGTTTTGTTATTATTCTAAATTTTTACAGCACTATTATGAAAAAATTAGTGCTTTTTATCAAAAGATACTACCGAGATAATCTACTCAAAGCAAGAAATCAGCAATATTTGTTTTTTAATTTGTGCAGTACTTAAAAATTTTAGTAATATGCAAGTACCTCGAAAGAGTTTACACCTTTCCTTTAACACAATAAATTTTAAAAACTTGCTTTTTGTTTCCTGTCAGTGTCCTATGGGGTTGTTGTTTGGGGTGGTTTTTTTGCTTGTTTTGAGGGTTTTATTGAGGTTGTTTGTTTGGGTTTTTTTATGCTTTCATGTCAAATATTTTCTTGATTTTATGTGTCCACTTCCTAGTTGACATGAAGAGCAATTTAAAGAAATGTTTTTTAAATTTCCCTTTCTCCCCACTGAAGGAAATAGGTTTAAGTATTCATATGAAAGTTAACATAAACATTTTGGAAGTATTGTGATTATGGACATGATTATGATCTTCCCAACTTTAGCTGATAACTTTCTACTTCAACATGGATGTAGTATCATATAAGTAATTTTTAGATTTAGACAGGAGTTCCAGTGGTTCTGATAAATGAAATAATTTGCTTTATAATTTCTGTATTCTTTTGGAGCAAAATTTTCTTTCAGTAGAATGGATAGATACTGTGGTCTTCTTAAGCATGTTATCACTTTAGTAATTCTGAAAGCACTTTACTTTCTCTTGTTGCAAGTTAGTCCATATTTTAGTCAAGTTCAAGAATTAGACAAGGAAGATGCTCCATCTGTTGTGAAACATTGCAATGACTCTTACAAGGAAGTTTTTTGCAGACAAAGTTTTCTTCTGATACTGTAACACTTATGTCAGTATTTTGCACAGGCAAAAAGAACTCCTGGTCAAAAGAATGGTTATGTACTGATTACCCTGTCCCTAAAACCAAAATGTTTTTTCCAGGCTCTCAGGAGAGGGGATAATGATGCTTTTAATGCCAAGCATGGGAGTTATAGAAGCAGCAGTCAAATCTGTACTTTTCTTCATCTGTGTTATCACCTAAAATCTAAAAATATTTTTTTATCTCCCAGTCAGTCAGTATTAGTCAGGGATTTTAGTTCTGTATGACCAGACTATTTTTTTAAACAAAATCTTTCATTCTTTGTATGTGGAAATAGTCTATATGATATACAAGTTTTATTAATATGTTCACTATCCTTCTTAAGGTCCCAAATTCGTGTCCTCCCTAATCAATTCAAGAGTAGAGAAAATATGGTTTGAAATAAACTCTCAGGAAAATGTTTGTCTTTCTCTCTAGAATTACCAGGTTTAAAATCTGGATCTTCGTCTAGGTTTGGGGTGTAACTAGGAGATTCTTGAATTAGCAGTCAGAAAATAATTCTTTCCAGGGTATAGTACTGCTAGACTGTGTTCTGTTTTGACACCAGCAACTCTTCTGTTTTCATTAAGGCTTT